TGAATACTTATTCACAACCTTTATTGTATGATTATTATTTACATCAACTGAAAGAGGATAAGAAACAAACCATCTACTCAATAATAAAGTCTGACATGAATGAACACAATCAACCAGAGTCGTGAGTTTATATAATCTGTTCTTATTACTTAATAGTAGAAGAAATATTGACCAGATTACGTATATTAAAATAATTAATCAATCAGTTATGAATCCCAACTGATTGAAGCGATAAAATTGGATTCATTCCTTGTCTTCTTCTGAATCATGAGATTCTATATGAAAGAGAATTTTTCACTGTGAGATTTCGTTTTACTTATTATTTCGATGGAATTAGTATTGTTGCTTTCCTCCTTTCGATACGCTTTATCTTGTTTATTTGTTTCCAGTATGTTGATCTGAGATGTCACCATTTAAATCGATCTAGATTCATCTCGAGCACGATTGGCAAACTGAATTTTTTAAATAACTATGATCAATACGATAAAAGTCTTGTTAGATTTCTCGATTTATTAGCCACATAATACAATGTGCCACATGTTCTAGACTAAGTACCTATTAACTAGGTCTTCTTAAAAATTAGTTTCCTTGATAAATTCATATAATGAAATGAGAATGCAATAACTATAGTCTCTGCACTGTATCTGTAACTTTAGTTTGATGAACTAAGCAATATTCCCATGAAAATTCTATATCTATTCAACCGTGCCTATTCACAGAAGAATAAAATATGTCGATTATTTATTTTGAAGGAACAAAAAACGTTTTACCTGACTTTTGTCCTAACTATCTTCAATTATTCACACCTTCAAACACAAGAACAGAAAGTTGGTAGTTCACTTCACATATTGTCCTTAGTTTGACAATCATGGGGAACTAGAAAGCACTGAGCAGCTGTTGAGTCCTAATGTGGAACTGCGTAGCAGTCCGCATCTACGACTGAATCAGGACTCGCCTTCACGTCTAGCTGTGAATATTTAACTTATAAACCTATAGTGGTAAATAAAAAATCCAGAAGAAATAGTGTTTAAGCATTCAACATTGATGCTAACCATGTTATTATCGCTGGACACACAATTTACTGAGGGCACTCAGTTGAGCATTGACCCCAGATCACGTTTCAACTCATCGTGGACCGCATCTCCACAAATAGCTAGCCATCTCAAAAGTTAAACGCTGTCATATCTCTGCCGACAATCCAAATATATCTCATTTAATAACCCTCGACTTCCTCTTTAGGTTTCCTTGTAAACTTTTCAATACGACAGACTCGGACACAAGTATTGTAAACTCCTGTCCTATCCGAATCTTTTCCAGATCAATGAGTTGTTACCTATTCATCTACATGTTTGACATAAACAAATTTCCCAAACTGTGTATCCAATATGCAATGTGATCGATGGGAAACTACAATAACAGAAGACGTATTTCATCATACATAATCTACTGAGTAGATACTAGCAAACAAAAATATACGTATTTTGTATAACTATGCTGTTATTCGCAACCTATTTCTAAAATAATAAGATACATTTAAGAAAAGAAGGAGGAATCTTGGGGAATTTTCTTCGGAATCTTGAGGAAAATACATTACACGTAACCCAGAAAGAAAGGTTGGCAAAAGTATAAATGCAAGAAGCAAGAACCTAAATAAATAAAAGTTGATTAAATTTTTATTAAAACCTATGATCATTTTGATGTTACTTCAGGGACAATTAATACAAGCTAATGTTTGTATTATCTTGTAAACTGTATTTGAGTCTCGTACGCTGTTGAAAATAATTTAAATCCTCGAAATACATTTTAAGAAGGGAATCGCTTATTGACTTACGGTGCATTTTTAATTTTATTGATTTATTCCATATGAAGTTGGTTTGATGAGTTTCAATGGATCTTACTGTATACATCAGTTCAGTATTATTTTGCATTTAAGTGATGCCTGCTAATTTGACAAATTCTGTAATTGATCCATATATAGTTGAATCATGTAGATGTAAGTCAACATTCTTCGGTCTCACTCAATAAATCGTTAACAATATTTTTCCTTTGGAACATTTAAGATTGGAATAGAAGAAAGCAGTTGCGCACAGTTCCGAAATTGTCGTAAAATTTATTGCCATCAGTTCAAAAATGTAGCACTATCATAAAGGTTAATACGTTCCCTTTCGTAATACTCAGCTACAAATGGCAAAGCTAGTAAATATTTATTATTCCATAATGTGATGTCAAGCAGTTTTCTGTTGCAATAACAAAACAAGTTTATGCATACAGAAACAATAAAACAACCTATACTTAATGTAGTAAATTCACATAAATCTAGCGTAGGATATATGAAAATGCTATGCTTCTACTATCCAAATGACTAGATAATAGGATTTCTGACATTTCACGTCCAACCCTAATCGTTTTGGGGAGTGCCGTGGTTTAAAGTGTTTGGAGTTATTAACAGTGTTGAGATAGATTCTTCATAATAGATAAATTTGTACTAACTTGTAAAAAGATGTTTATTCTATGCGAAAAAAAAACAGTGACTTATTAACAGATGGAACCTCATATTCAAAGCAGTTGTATCGAGTCTAAATTTAACACAGTATGAGATATGTGATAGCTACAGTTTATGTATATATATATACAGTTTGTTCACAACATGACTTTCAAAACTGTACAATATTAGGGTTTTATTTTTTAAATCATAACACTAATATTAATGCTGAGTCTTCGGAAATCATATTTTTGAAAATGAAATGCAAATTACTGTCGAAGAATAGTTACATAGCTTCGTGGGTGAAGACTTATCTGAATAGCTTGAAGTGTTTTTTTCGAAATTCAGGTCGAAAACGCTTTTGCACGTGATCCTTTAGATAAATATTGTTAATCTATGTTATTTGCAATAATCAACTACATACATGCAATAATTATATCCACAATTATATTGATTACTTTTTGTATTGGTTGTTTGAATCTTCCGATCGACGATTAGGACTGCAATCGACCGGTCTCGATATACATACATCCTGTGCGAACTGCCTCGATATTGCCTTAAGTTACTAACATTATAAGCGGAGATGGATGGTGGCTAACAGTGAATTTCCGGACTCACATTTCGTCCAATTTGCGACTCGACAGCTGGATGTACCTGCATCCGAGCTGATGTTCAAAGAGGGAGTCGAACCCAGTACCGTTCGCTGCATACGCCACCGCGTTATTCACTTAGCTATTGAGTCCAGATAGTGGAAATCATCTCTGAGATCCAGGTACGTTAAGCTGACGAGTTGTATATAGGATGAAGCGAGGGTCCTGGATTGCACTGCTAGCCGCCATTCAATTCTGTTAACAATTATCATAGTTTCAATAGGTCAAAAATCAAGTATTCCCTTATGGATTGTCCTATAATGTTTTTTTTCTTCATACCTATATGCATATTCATTAACTGAACCATCTCTTGTTACATATTTCTTTCGGAATCTTTTCGCTACTTTCTTCCTGATACAAGATGGATATGTCTTGCAATTGGAGCAGAGAATCGTTTAAGTGTATGGAATTTATCAATTTGTGCAAATCCTTATCATAATCCGCTACGATTTTATCTTCTTGCTTGGTTACCATTGGAATCACTGAAACTTAATAATAATAATAATAATGACAGTGAAGATGAAAAAAATGAGCCTGCTGAACTGTCTTATCACGCCGATTTTTTACCAACACAAAATCTGAAAGATATTCTGAAACTAATAAAATGTAAGTAGTGTGTCTAATTTATTGAAAGATTTCCAAGACCTTTTATATATATGCAAATTAATGAATATGGTTAAAATTTATTTGTAGTTTTTTAAAAGCTACGCTTGAGATTTTAGCATAGAAATTTCTAGTAACTTAAAGTGATTACGAAAGATAATTAAATATGAGGCAATTTTATAAATGAGGAAAGATGATATACCTAAGAAATTGAACTTGAAACAAAATTTGTGCAAACTGCGGAACAAGGTAGAAAATAATCACAAAATATTTCGTTCATCTTCCAAGAAACATGATTTTTTTTAGCGAATACAATCATTTATACGTAGATGTTAGTGTCATTGGATGATTCGCAAACGAATATCATATATAACTGTAATGGTGGGAATACAAATGGATTTTACACTAAAAAATGTTAGGATGAACAAATTTTCAGTCAGTCAAAACGTAAAACTTCGTACGTACGTACATCAGTTCGAGTTGCCATACCACATTAAGACAGAGATGCAGTTATCGATTCGAATTTCATAGATGATCTGCAGCTCAATAACAGGAAGACTACATTTACGTATATTAAAGTTACGTCCAAAGTCTCAGAAACGATGTGTAAAGAACTGTTTGCAAATGAGTTCTAGTAATTTACACTTAGTAATATATTTGACAAAGTGACAAACTAGTCGCAATAGAAAAAATTCTACACAGTCAATATATTTAGAAGATTTGATAAGAAAATTGTTCCTCATTGAGATCTTATTATCAAAAGCACTATTAAATCCAAGCACTTGGAAAAAGGAACATATGAATCTAGGATATATCGCACAACTTTAAACCGAAAGTTGTCTGAAATTTTAATTTCCTGAAGTCTGAAAGCAGTTAATTAAAGGGCAACTGATGATTTCTTATGAGCATAAAAATGGCTTGCACTTTTGACTGTGAGGCTTAATTCATTTTACTAACAACCATCAAAAGTTAGTATACTTTAAATACGCAAATCGAAAAAAACCATCCACATTGTTTATTGTCGTCAGAACACAGGAATTCCATATACGGCATTCTGCGACCCGGCAAATAGAATTTCCAAATCACACGTAAGTTCGGTTTATACTCCAACTCTTTAATGGAATTGAATGTTTCTCCCATTTCAATACATATCCCTAGTAAATTTACACAATTACTGGAAGCAAATGAAGTATTGACAATATACTACAATTTAATTCAAATGAAGAGATGAACTGGTATATGAACAATTGTCTCTTTTCTTGATAACATCGAACGTTTATTGTACGTTGCAAGTTAATTAAGAATGGATATGAAAACATTAAAACAAGAAGCTAAATAGTAAGAAAATAGTATATTTCCAAAAAATATATTATACAGTGATTTTCTAACGCGATAATTAAAACTCATTACCACTCCGACATATACTTTTACTGAAAAAATGCACGAATATCACAAAAGACGAATCATCTTATGAATTGTCTTATGATTTATCAACTACGACTCCGTTTAGGCCGCAAGTGACCATGTTCAGAGCTAATACAGTCTTGAACCCTTGACCTAAAACGGGATATGAGCATTTATTATATCCTCTGGATAATTTAATAATGGTTTTTGGTCCTTTCGTGTGTTATAGTTGCGTGGAAACTACCTCTTCGTGGTTCCTACTGAAAACACGGTGCTAGTTGGCTAAGCGTCGCCGAATTCATATGCAGTGTCAGTGCTGTAGGCCTCCAGTAGCATGGGTGAAACTCACCAGAATATCGACTATCGGCTAGGGTAAAAGGAGGGCTATTCTCTTTCTTTTCGCGAGTCGGAATCCCGCTGCTTGTCCTTCGGGGTGGCCCAGGTTTACTCAGTTCCCTTAGCCGAGGTTGTTTGAAACCGTGTTCCTGAGGACTGGCTGGGTGTAGGACATATAGGAGACCTTCTGCGGAGTACTTTCACCATTGTGGAGACTAATAAATACCATCTGGGGGTTAATTTGGCCGGTCTGAAGGGAGAGTTCTTTTCAACGTTTAATAAATTAAATTTCCGATGATAAATCGATTTATCCTCCTAATCCTTTTTTTTTACAGACGATGAAGAAAGTCATGATAAACTTGGCAATCCTTATATTATGATATACGCGACTAATAAAATAACAGAAATTACAAACTTATGGATATATTCAATTGATGATTTGATTAAAACTCAAACGGAATCATCGTCGTCATTATGTTTAGAGATAACTGGTAAAGTGGAATCAATCATCCCGGTATTTATACTTCCTTCTACAAATACTAAAACATATCACTTAATATTATCATATTTACAGTTAATTATATTGACACGATCATCATTAAATAAGTATCAAACTGAAATTCAATTATTAAACTTCTATTCTAATGGTTTACATATTAAATCTAAAAAAATTATTGGACCACAGTATGTATATAATGCTTGTATGAATGAGAATCAACCTTTTTTATCATCTTTTCCACTTATCAAATCAATCATTTTACAAGAAAGGAATAAAATATACATTGCAGCTGCTTATGGTAAAGAATTATTAATCTGGGAAGAAACATACCATTCGGAAAATAATTCACTGTTATAATTAGTTTGTTGTAAAGATGTATACTTTAATAAATTCCTTGCTTCTGTCTACTTTTACAAAAAAAAGATATTTTATTGAATTCAACTAAACAACAATGCACAGTATTTCAATTTCGTTACGTGAATATTTCTATACAATTCTCAAAGAATACGCCTAGTTAAGTACAACTAAAAAAACGAGTGATAAAATAAAAGCGTATCTATTGCGTAATCGAAGAGTTACAACGAACCATATTATTATTTTTTGCAATCATGGTAGTCTGTTAGAATCAAGAGTCATATGAATAAATACCGGTTTAATCAAACAAACGACTAAATAAAAGCAGATGTTTACGAATTGTTTATTTTCTTTATTAATTCTCAGATCGTATATAAATGATTTCTAGCGTTTATCACTTTTTATTGAGACTGCACTCGCTTTTTAGTTCTTTCATTGCATCAGGATACTAACAATAAAAGTATCAATAACGGATTACGAAGATCGCTGAATTCAATGGAGAACACAAATCGATCTAAGTTCGATAAACATTAGAAATAAGGAAGCACGAGACAGCCGTTTTGTCTTGGTATCAAACTCCTTAGCAGTGCGCAACCACCACCCCATACCGGGAATTGGACCCAGGGCCGTCGGCCTCACACATAAACGCTTAACCTCAAGACCACTGGACCTGAATCCAATAGTGTTCAAGTCTAAGTTTGATCAACCCACGATAATGCACGACCATCTTCCTTTTTTTAGATTCAATTCCCGGTTACAACGTTGTCAATGCACGTTGATGAGACGAAACGACAGTTCAATGCTTCCAGGTATTCAATAGTTGTCTAGCTTGGATTGGTTCGTGATCTGAATAAAATTAGCAAGAATTAGGATGATCAAGCAAGCAGCATCTTTAAAATATACACTTTAACCTGAACAAATGAAGAGTATATATGAATGGATAGAAATGAAAACTATCGAAATCTAATAATGCAATATTTTATTAACTAAATTCTAAGACAAAATTTTCTTTCGTAAAAAAATTTCCAATTCATTTAACGTACATAAAGGTTGGTGTACAGCGGTTAGATTCATGATTTTATTGTATAAGGACTGATGAACACACCAGAATAGCCAAGAATTAATCCTGCTACCCAATGGTTGTAAGTAGTGATTAAACTACTAAGATTTAAACCTAGTTGTTAAATATCAAATGATGGCATGTGGTTCCCACGGTCCAATCCATTAAAAGCTAAAGACCAAAATTACCCTTAATCATTTAATAACATTCATTTAATTATGTTTCACAAAAGCTGTTTTAAGAACATGATCAAGAAATAGAAATAAATAGTGCGAAACGTTTCCATTTAAAAAAAAGAGATTTAGGACAACCAAAAATATGTGATTAATGTCATAATGCAGTTAACAACATATGCCTAATAACCATTTATATCTATCAACTATAAGGTTCCATTAAATCTTCCGTATACTAGCTTAATCCTAACAGGTTATCTGGACCATGTTAAACAGAATAACACACTGTAATCAATGATTCAAATAATTCAATGATAACTGCAACAATTAAACGTCCTGCAACTAATGAACAAATGGCTGCAAAATGAATAATCCAGTACCATTTTTCTTTAAGTATTATACAAAATGTATAAGTGTAGAATGGAACATTTATGAAATTTTTACGAAGCCTTTATTGGCGAAATCTTACGTAGTAATCATATTTGGTAAAAAAAACAAATGCATATAACAAACAGCTGCAAACGAGTAACCATTTTCATCTTCCTTCAAAATTATTCACCCAAATCATTATCCCTGATTAGAGTGATAAAATGGAAAAATTTATGAAAACATACGGACTTATTCAAAAAGTGGCATTGCTAACAATAAAAATAATAATAACGCTACGCTGACGTCATTGAGGCGGTACTTTTTCATTACTTTCGATATAACAATAAAGAGAACAGTCCGAGAAACAAATCGAAAATTAACAACAAAATTTATGGGAGAATGATTATTGTGTACGTTTGCAAAGAAGATACATTTATCGAGTAGTATAATAATATGGAGTTACGAATAGGTCAAGTGACAAAAACAACTGATAATTCTAAATGAAAAAAGAAACGTATTGCTATAGTATTGTGCATCAAACAATTTCGAGTAATGTTTTAAGTGAAATCTCGACAAATTACTGTTGAAGATGGTGCAGTTTATAATCATCAATGTATGAAAAATAAACATGTTCATTTTACAGTAATATGAGGAAAGATAAATCGATGACAATAATATATGTAAAGATAAAACAATGACGATCAAATATATGAAAAATGATCCGAATTGAGTAAAGGAAAACAATGTGTACAGAGATGATTTATCAATTACATATATAAAACCTGATAAACGAAGATTTCCAAAAAAAAACAATGAAATTAGCATTTAAGTCACTAAAAGACTATTTTCATTTATTAATTTACAAATTGTAATGACCATCAACATGTATACACACCTTACAATTTCATGGAATTACTTCTGTTCAATAAACGAATATAAAATAGACATTGTCGTGATGAGCTGTCAAATATTTGACTATTAAATATGAAAACTGTTGATGATTGTAGTACAATGTGGAGAATAACACACGTCAGGATAATCAAGTAAAATTATTTGAAATGATTTTCACTACTCATAACATCTAATGCTTCCAAGAGAACCTCCGTTGGTCCCTTTGAAACTTCAACAGCATCTTCATCATTAGTATAATCTATCAAATGTATAAGAAAGAAAACAAAATTTCACTAAATGTGTGGGCTAATGATACTACTCGGTTGCGTAAACTGACGTGCAACAGGGTACGAACATGGAACCTGGTGACCGAAAGTTGAATATCTCAATCAACCCACCAAGCCACTGCTCCACCCAAAAACCACACAAGAAAATCCATCAGAAAAAAGTAGAATAACAATTTTAAAGAGGATAAAATTATGGAAGTCCAGAAATCCCCTATAATTTATCGCGACAATATACAGCAGTGGAAACTACAAACTTGACAGTCATACCATAAAACTCGTTTTTATTTCAATGCTTCAGTAAATGAACTCACGGAAACTTGTTTTTTTTTCAAAATTATAAATAATCGTACCACCGCACGGTGATTAAAGTTTCAAAAAAATCTACTACATGACACTAACAGTTGAGACCTACTTGCTCAAAGGGGTGATATTCCTTGCATACATCAAATTAAACACAGATCGGGCCAGTCAGTCATACACGGCGTAAAACCTGATACGTATGTACTTCGGTTCAAGTTTCCACATCACATCAGTCAACGAAAAAAAATATTTTAAGATAAATCCCAGAGTAGTAGGAGTAGTAATAGTATCAGTAGTAATCGAAGAAGAGATAATGAACAGAAAAGGAAAACAGACCATGATAGGTGTAGGCAGTAAGGCAGCTGTAGAATGGACCATATAAAATAGTATAAGAATGTTATGAAAATAGAGGTAAAAAAACACATAAAATCTGATGGTAAATCGAGTAGATACTAAAATAATACACTCATTCCAAACTTTTTTTAACAATTCCCTTGTTGCAAACCTATAGAAATTGATAAAACAAAGAATATATGAACTTGAGAAACAAAGCGCATCAAACAAATCCCTATACCTTTAGCGCAGTACACCGTAACTGCTGTGATATGACAACGACTAGTAGCTTGAAACTGATGAATAAAAACTTGATTTTTAACAATGGATTATTTAACATTACTACTGGTTCGGAACATTGTAGAGACGGATGTATATTCTACTTCAGAAGAGCATCTGTACATAAATTCAAAATAATAAAAAAGCGGATAAAAGACAAAGCATTACATCAAAAGCAAACCTAATAAATTAAAGTTCCACTATTTTCCAATAGTTCAAATAAAACATCCTTTAAAGACACACAATCTGGAAGAATGAAATAGAGTAAAACAACGTTAAAATATTATCAAATAGTTGCTGTTTCTGAATTTTAGAGTAAATTCATCATTATAAGATGGAGTTTCAGGATTAATTTTAATTGATTCTAAACCATTAACCAAGTACAATTTTGTGTTCTCTGCATATTCGCTGCTTAAAGTGTGGTAAAAAATCCTATCTGGATTCTTAGATTGTGGTTATTGCAGTGACGTTCAAACCTATTGTTTGTTAATTGAATGATTAAATTGTAGTCAATGCTTCATAGCTAAGCTGGAAAAATAAACTTATCTAACTGGTAAATATGTTAGTAGAATAGAAGCTAACAGTTAAAAAAGAAATTAAACGTACTATTTGGAACATGTTCATATGCATCAATAACAGGAGGTTCATCCATGTGTACAGATTCGCGTGGCGAACTAACAGGTATCTTTATTGAAGGTTCTTCAGAACTTTGAGAAATATCACACCAATTATCAACTACTAGTTGACTAGTCAAAACTGGAATATCTTGATTCAATGTGGAATTCACATCTTTTTCTTCAGTGGTATTATTGTTACTTTTATCATTATCATCGTCATAGTCATCATCAAGCACATTTGAAACTTCCGGACCATTATAAGGACGTAATTTAGGTAAACGAGGTGATAATACTGCTGATTTAGTGGTCCAACCGACTGGACGCCGTGATAAATGTGATCCTAACTTAAGAGGACTTCCAGCTGTTGCTTTTGTACGTAAATGAAGTTTTGATGGATGTTTATCAGGAAAACGTTCACTAGGAAGTCTACTAAAATTTTTAACAGTGGGAAGTTGCTTCCGACGTACAGTGAGACCGTGAGTAGCACGTTGATGGCATGTAGGACAAAAATATACTTTAGGAAGCTAAAATAGAGTAGAAGTACACATAGTATGTTTGTATGATATACAGGTAAGTAAGAAATCATACAGTTTTACGCAAAAATATACATCAAATGGAACCACTAACAATTGATGAAATAAGAAGAGAATCGGCTACAACCGATTAGCGGAGTAACAGACAATTACTACTTTTTTCAATGAAATTACTTTGTAATTGAATTGTGAAAAAAATCAACTATCATATAAATTTGAGGTTCCATTAGTCAATGTAAGATACACAAAGATTAGTTTTATTAGGTTAGAGATTGAATTATTATCCTTCATGTAATACAAAGTGCTTAGGCGCACACCGCTTGAGAACATGGAAATCATAGAAAATACTAACTGATAAATCGGACAGAAATAAATGTCTGACCTAGGAAACCTTTCTATAGATATTAGTGAATACAACTCACATAACAACAGTATGGAAAATCAATTATACGGAAGTTATTAACCGACTAGATGTTTAAAATTTATAGTTGAAATCAAGAGTCAATTGAAGTTATACCACCATCGAAAACCTAGAAGCACTGGATGGCCATTTCGTCCTATTATGGGACTCTTCAGCGGTGTGCATCCACGATCCCGCATCCGCGAGATTCGAACCTAGCTTCAAGTGACTCATGATTTCAACTATGAAAAATACTGAAATCTCCACAAAACCCTTTCTCTGATTAGAATTTAGATAAGTATAAACAATAATTAGTCTTCCTTCACAGTAACCAGTTATATCAAATTTCTTACAATTGTTTTGTAAATCTCAACCAAATAAACGAGTAGTTCTCTGTGTAGGACTACAATGATGTATAGATCCTTTTAAACTAACAACATCACTTTAACTGTGAATTGAACACAGCTAAATAGAATAGCGTTGATTGTTTTAAAGACCAAGGAAATTAACCACAATCACAAAGAAATGACTACATAAAGTTAATCACCTAAGTCCTGTTACAGTTTGAGTTTTCTTTTAAAATACTTATATCAACCAACCATGTGAAAGTCAGTGGACCAAGTCAACTTTCATTACATAATCTACTCATAAATATTGCTACCGATATTATCGTCAAAGTGACCACAGTGAGAAAATAAATTTTAAAAAATATAGAATACCTGGAAATGATGATGAATTCCGACGCATATCTGATGATACCATCGACAACACGCTTCACACTGTACCCATTTTACAGTACCAGTTTGTGGATGTAGACATGGTCCTGCTGGGCACTCATCATCTTCGTAATTAGACGCTTGATCATCTGTAGCACAATCTACATTCTCATCTTCACTTTCATCATTATTTAACATTGTTTTTGTTGCTGCCATTGTTGATCGAATTCCACTTAGTCTAGCATGTCTAAAAGCTGACCTTTTTCTCCCGACACTGTAACTGAAATAACCGGACGTCATTTTACGATACGGTATTGATCCATGTCTTGAGTGATATTGTTCATTTGTTGGTGTCTATGACGAATTTTTCGAGAAAAAATAATAATTGGTGAGTTGAATAGAGAAAATTACAAAACACTGAACTGTAAACAAATTATAGATGAGAAATTATTGTCCATTTTACCCACATTCAATTATTTATTATGAAAGCGTCGAAAAAGTACTTCTACATAACACTGGAAAATAGTTCTACAACATCTACCAAATTAGACTTCATAACCGATGAATCTATGCTTAAATATATATGCAATGCAATACCTAAAGACAATGGATTGAATTGCAGTAGAGTTTAAAAACAATGGACGAATTTAATATTGGGATATATTGACCAACTATCTTTCGATGGATGTCTCTAATTTTTGAAGTTATAAACCGTAGTATATTACTTGAAAAGGTGAAAATGTAAAACATCGACTGTAAAAAGCCAAGTTACAACAATGTCTTGTAACCTCTGAAGCTACAATGTTGCACCATATCTAGGACCCCAATCAGGAGGTCATGAAGGACCAACAGAAGCCATTCTTGTACAGCTTCCTTTCATACAGCGATACCATGTTAGACACTGAAATTCACTTTCATAAAGGTATTCTTGAAAGAAACTGAGCAACTCCGCAACGAAGTTAAACAAATATAAACCATATATTTTGATAATCAATGATATCATTTAACTATCCTAAATTCAGTGACTGAACTGAACCCCGACCATGTGACAATTTAGTTGAAAGTCAAGTATTGATATCAATATGTCATGGGTCAATAACACCGTGTATATATAAATAACACTGTGTAGATAACATTTCATTGAAATATTTTTAATGTTAAATAATCACGCCTTTAAAATACAATGAACTGTATATTTAAAAAAATGTCATTCCTCAATATTCACGTGAAATAAATTATTTAATAGTATTACTACAGTGAATCATAACCAGTTATGTATAATTGTGATATAATAAAAATATGTACAAATCCTTTCTGAATTTTAAATTCTACTTTAAAGTAATATCATAGTACATTTGTTCTACTAATACATTTTTAAAAGAGTATTTTAGAATATTAAAGATTCCCATTGTGAAAATTATAACAACACATGTAAGCAAATAATTGTTTTCCATTAGATCATCATCAGGCTTTACTATAATATTCTTACTACTATCAGTGCACTTGTCTTCCCACTATCAACTTGTACTTTTAACTATTATGCGCGGTGACGTATTCTATTTCATTGTGATTAGTGACTCAAATTGTCCAGATTCGTTTAACATTTTCGTATAAATATTGATGTATATTAGAGTAAAGTCTGATTACGATCTAATTAAAAACAACCATTCACCAATTGTCTTCAGTGAGTTGATATCTCACAACGGACGTGGTTGAACTCAACTTCATGGATCAGTTGAAGTTAGACATTAACACCGTTGGATGCCAGCTCAGTGGTCTATCGGTTAAGGGCTTCGGCTCGAAACTGGTAGGTCCTGGGTTCGAATCCCGCGAGAGTTGGTTCGTGGGTGCGCACTGCTGAGGAGTCCCGTGGTAGGACGAAACGGCCGTCCAGTGCTTCCAGGTTTTCGATGGTGGTCTAGCTTCAATTGACTCATGATTTCAACTTTGAAAAATACTGAAATCTCCACAAATCCCCTTCTAAATAGAAAAACTTATTTACCGTTTCCAAGTGTTCTTCGCTTGTTGACGAATCACTATATTCATTATTAGAAAAAGCGTGCAGACGCCGTACAAGACGTTCTCCACGATAAACACGTCCAGTTCTGCGAGAAGCCATGCATAATTGGCCACTTAAAAATCAAAGGCAAACAGAACAGAAAATTATTCATTGAATGTGAGAATTGATAATCATCTTAACAAACAACATGATGTGACTATACTAAACACAAAATAATGACTGGCTCTCTATTAGCGAATATCTGTATGAGATGTGAGTACGTAATGGCGTAAACATATATATGTATCACAAAAGGTGTATGTCTGTATACTTTTATGCTACCGTAAAAAAGGTGATTCAATAAAACATCTCACAAAGCATGGCGATCAGTTAATGAATAGTCAAATAATATTATACATTGTAGACTTTGCACCAAACTAAATCTCTACAACACTTGGAATTATCGAAATTAATAACGAATTAAATATCATACATATAGAGTTTAGTTGCTTGACTTAGTTTCATTACTATCAGTAGCATACAATTCAAACTGAATTAGTGGCTATATACATCAAATTTTATCGTTACTGTTGGTACTGTATAATTAAAAATTACAAACTTAAAACGTTCAAACAGTACTATATTACAGATAAAAATACCTTAGATTTCTAGCACGCCTGTTAGTTGGCATTTTACATTGTTTACTGTTAGATAACATTGTATGACATTCTTGTTGTAGCACATTTCGCATAGTAGGATTATAAAAATGTTTCTGTTCAGTGGAGCGCATAGACCTATAACCAATAGCGTGAGACGGTCGTTGAACTGAACGCCGACTTCGTACAGGCAACAAACGTCTAGGTCTACCCATTTTATATCGTCTTGCTATAGTCAGATCTGATGCACGACCTCTTAAACGATAAGCCTAATAATGAAAAAAAGAATAAATGAATGCATAAGGATCTCGTTTGAACAGGCAGATGGCTACGATATATGAATTATATAACAGATATTCATTTGCACTAAGAACGAATAACGTACCTTCCTGCGAGGAATAAGTGTAGGATGAGTAATAGGATCTGAAACTGATGATGAACCACTCTGTTTTTCCTCTGCTTCTGAATATATCGGACTATGACGTTGGCGCTTTTGTAACTCACTATTTTCAGTTAAAGATATGTTGCTATCATCAGAATGTTCCATGTTTTTATTCAATACGTTGACAAAATTACCTACTGAACCAGAACCTCTTCTTTTTCGTCGACCAGCCCTAAATCGTTCAGATAATTTTGATTGATTTGATTGTTGGATATGACGTAAAATTCGTCGCTTAAGACGTTCTTCTTCTATTTTCGCAACAAATGGATGATAGGCGCCACAAGATTCTGTTTCTTGATCGGAAGCTAAATGCAATTGCCATAACCATCGTGTTTGTGGTAAATGTACTTCTAATAAGCACGCTTCCATTATTAAATTTTCTAATATTTTACGAGCTTCTGCAGACAATGGGAAGTAAAATTTTCGTGTCGATTGTAAACAAGATGTTTTTCTTGTAGTTTCGAGGTCGGTTGTTGGAATTTTGGACTGACCAAGACGATTAACATTGCAAAGATCTCGAATGTGGTTTGGTGATAAAAGTGGACCATGGTGAAGTTTATTAACTATCAATGACAATAATTCAATTAAAAGAGTTGAATAAAATCAAATACAGTCGCTATATTAAAAATGATAAATTAATCTATTCGGCTAAATGATGATAGTAACTTACTAATGATAAAAAAGTGGTTAGTATAATAATATAAAATATAAATCGCAATACTATCAAATGTAGACCACACTTTAGAAATAATGGAGATCGATTACGGAGATTCGAGAAATATCCAAATTTGACCCGATGCATCACCACTGGGATTCAACAAAATCAATCAGATTTATGAGCTAACTAACTATTTTTAGTGATTCACCACAAAAAGTGAGTATAGAAAAAGATTCCTCACAGTCACAGCAAAGTATTTCATAAATGATATAACTTAAATTTAAACGTTTGATGACATTTGTTTAGTCGTTTTCCTGGATTTTTGGAATTCTCCTACACTTGAAGCTCAAGCATATCAAAAAATAAGCAAACCAAGAGTAAAAACTCTACTTCAAGGTTAGTTTATGTAGAGAAATTAATGTCATTTAAAGATTGATGGGTAAACTTGACATTCTGAAAACTTCAAGAAGCATGCTAAAATTGGTGGAGAAAACGACAATTATCAAATAAGGTTTTAAAATACAATTCCTGGATTTTCTGGGAAGCTTTCATTGCATACGGACTGGACTAAATAGTTTCAAGTCACTTCCTGGCTTCTGAAGACTTTTACTGGGGATTATTGAAGGCTACAAAAAATAACTTCGGCAACCAATTCTCTAACGTAAAGGGAGAACTAAGGTAGTACGAGGCCAAATAGTAAAACTATGTTATATGAAGATTTCATGTCGGAAAGATGACCTCCAAGTATTAGTTTTATAATCTCACTACCATGTAACTGTGCAAATTTTTACAGTGTCGATGATGATTATGTCATTTATATGACCTCAATCTACTTAAGTGTTTTGCGGATAGAGTTTTGAGGATACTTGTAAAATTTTCAGACACACCTTTCATTTGCGGACAATTAAAGTAACGTTCAGTGGGTTAAAGCTGTTCAATGGATCTAGAATAAAATGCCAAACGACTAATTTTGAATGTCAATAACTATCAATCCATATGAAATTGCATCAGGTTGATGATTCCTGAAAACAGCTATAAATGAAACCTTAGTTTGAATTATTGATCACAACCAAGTACTCAGTAATTATATATATATATATATATATATATATATATATATATATATATATATACCTAAAATATGTAGCAGCATCGTTACTAAACTGTAAGTTGAATAGACTACGTAGAAGCTTAAGGTATTATGTTGTTACTGTGAATGAAATAATTAGGCATAAAGTGTATTAATAGAGGAATATGTATGAAAACGGTGTAAATTTACCACAGAAATACTTGGTAGTAATAAGTTATAAATTGAAGAAATTTTGGACAATAAGTTGAAATCAGTTTCTTAAACCCCACTATTCATGACTGAAAGCCTTTGAGTAGAGAAAAACAACATAACTGATGATACATAAACATATATTTTCATATCTGAAACCGCGAGCCAATCTAAGCTAGACCACCATTGAGAACCTGAGATCATTAAACAGTTGTTCCGTCTTAGCATGTGACTCCTCAGTAATGCCTACAGGTTTTCAATAGTGATCGAGCTTAGATCTACTCGTGATTTCAACTGTAAATATACTGCAATCTCCACAAGTCCCCAGTATTAATAACATAAGCATATAAACAATAAATATTAATCTGTGAAACAAGTACTATAGAATTCAACTTACAGTGCATTGAATCTGACCTATCAGTAGAACATGGGCTAAAACCAACATCTCGTTGATTCATAATTTTACCAGATAAATTGCTACGACTACCCAATTGACCAAATGAAATATCTGTTTTGAAATTACTGTACGAATGTCGATTATACACTGATGATAAGCTTAAATCTTGTTTCTGTACAATAGAAGATTGTGAATTTAAAGATGCTGAAAGACCAGCTAAAGCTTCAGCAGCTTCCGTTTCTTTTAGTTCACCTGAATGCGTGCATACAGTGCTATCTGATCCTAAAGATTGTGATTTAAAACCTTGTTTATAACTGGAAAATTGTAATTCCAAATTAGACAGCCTTGATGATGATGAAGAAGAACGCATTTCATCAGGAATGATAAATTCACGTGGATTACGATTAGCTGACATTTCCATCTACATGAAACAATCAAATGAAAAAGACAACAATCATATTTACATAAAGTATTCCCTCCAAATCCCTATCAAAACGTGTTAAAAGAATTTGAAAGTGTTTCATTAAACTGCTTTACATAATCATGACTTACTGGTAATCTAAAAGGTAGGTAGAAAACAAAAACGTATGATCTAGTAAGAAACATGAATCAGTCTAGATTGACACAATTCACTTAAGATCAATGAAAAATAAAACACAATCTGTTATATCGTATGGTGATCGTAATTTATATGAACGCCAATTTAGAGAGGAGTGAATTTTATTGATCGGCCGCAAATGATGATTGAAATCGTACGAGCAGTCTTGGGTGCTAACCGGTTCTGCGATCTGCCTAGCCCAGCCAGTTGAGTCCAGAACACAAATAACAGCCTCGGTAATATGAATCATTATTTACAAACATACTGGGTTTTTATACAAACCAAAGTAATCGATAAACTGATTATAACTCAAGAATCGTATGATCATAAATCAAATAGATCAAAATAAAGCTCATGATAAGAGAAAACGAATATGAATAATTTAGTTACGTAACGACTGTACAATAAGAAATAGGCATAATACATTGGTCGACAATAGACCTCAGATTTACCATTCATAATTCACCAGGGGATATAACACCTCCCCTTTTTGAGAAATCCGGAGTTGACATCCGGACTTTAAATTTCTCGAATTCATCCTCCCCCACGAAAGACTGTTGGATCCTCATATAGCCAAGTTACTATTAATGTGACATTATATAGAACATGTTTGTCATATTTAAAAGAGAAATAATTAGAACTGACTGGATCATGAGGATCGACGACAATTGATTTGAGGTCACCAGCATTTGATTCTTGTGAAGCAGTTTCCTTGAATTTACTCGGAACCTCATTAGTAAATAATGAATCATTAGGATAATCAGTATCTATGAAAGTTGTATTGGATTCTTGATTATCATTTAATGCATCCGATATTTTTCTCCCATTTTTATAAGAGATTTGAACAGTAACATATGAATCAGCAAAATAATCGGGATCTGGCAGAACAATTAGATAACCTTGATCAATAGATTCATTAGAAAAACTTTTTGCATCATGGCTGGTTTGATTTGGCGCCACTGTATTCCCTATTCTGTTTGGTTTGTTCCCCGTTTCTTCGTGGGCGGGTACTGCAGCAATTTTATGGGCGCTTAATAAGATATTGTCTTTCTGTGAACTGGACGATTCATTGTTCGCACGTTTTGTTTCAGGGTTAGTAGGACTTGAGCCACGTATAGGGCATGCCTCTGAAACAGACAATACTGGACTACTGGGCTGATCATATGTGACTGCTAGTGTTTCGCTTAAATTACTGCTTTTCACGGATTCATAGAGGCTTTCACTGGCATATTCATTTGTTCTGCAATCGATTTCCAGCTCTGTACGCAATTTTGAAATTAATGCGTCAACTTCCGTTGCACCCCCAAAGCATGGGTGATTCAGCAGCTTTGCATGTAGCTTGTCAATGAATTCCATTTGACTCTTCCTAAAGCGCTGCTCTTGTCGCTGGATTAGCAACTGAAATTGATCGGAAGTTAGAGCCATTTTTTACCCCGTCGCCAGTTGTTATAAGGTATGGACTCGTAATTTATAGGAACGTGCAATTAGAGAGGTAGTGGATATTTTTGATCGGACGCAAATGATACTTGAAATAGTACAAGCAGTCTTGGGTGCTAACCGGTTCTGCGATCTGCCTAGCCCAGCCAGTTGAGTCCAGAACACAAATAACAGCCTCGGCAATATGAATCATTATTTACAAACATACTGAGTTTTTATACAAACCAAAGTAATCAATAAACTGATTATAACTCAAGAATTGTATGATCATAAATCAAAGATCAAAATAAAGCTCATGATAAGAGAAAACGAATATGAATAATTTAGTTACATAACAACTGTACAATAAGAAATAGGCATAATACATTGGTCGACAATAGACCTCAGATTTACCATTCATAATTCACCAGGGGATATAACACAATCATTCTAACAATAATGTTAGTACTAGCAATAATAATTAAGCAGTTATCATCAGTAGTAGTAGAGAATTAAAGAAAAAGATAGAAATGAAGAATAATATGAAGGATAAAGTAGAAAATTTAGAATGCTAAATGAATCTGACCAAATGAAACTAATTTCAAAACTCAAGAGAAGGATAGACTTGGGGAAGTGATAGCTTTTATAATCTTAGGGATGTTAATAAATTCTATCTGACCTATACATGGAGTAAAAACTGTTACTAGATAATAACTTCATGGTTATAGTAGAGATAAAACTGGGTAAGTAATAACACAGACAAAAGTAACAACATAATACAATCCGATACTGAGTACTTCGAATTCGAGCTCTTGCTTGTGTGTTGTCATAGTTCTAGACTAATAAGAATAAGTAGTATTTCGTTAGAATATTTCAAATTCTAGAGTCAAGAGCAGATTAGACCAGTTCGTCATAACTGTGATTTACGCAAAGGTCCGAGATCGTACAGTCGAATAATCTGGTTATGCTAAAAGATGGTTGAGACTTCTCAAATAGATTGTTTATATTACTAATATCAAAAAAGTTGATCATGACTCTTTTCAATTCAAATAAACCTTATCATCATTTACAATTTAATGTCAAATAAGGACGGCAGGGATTAAAAGTGTTCAAACCACATTTCGCCATAGACTGACAGCAGCTAATGAATAAATTAAAATCAAGGAAAACTAGAAAGCTGTTTGTTTGATGTGATAGTTCTTAGTCAGATATAATCAACGTAGAGTTTGGCGCAAATGTCTATCACCATACCACATTGGGGTAACAAGCTGAATGACAGAAAAGCGAAAATGGTGAAGTAGCAATGATAATGAGAAAGACTGAAGATTGAGAATATGGTTCAGGAAGAGGCAATACATGAGTTTGTATTGAAAGATGAATATCAGTAACTAGCATGTGATATACTCAAGAGTTCTTAAGCAACAAAATTGGTCAAAATCGATCAAAGACATAGAATATCCATTTAATGAGTTAAAAACAATAAGAACGAGGGTAAGACTTGAAAGACAGTTAATGAATAAATTTAACCATTTATGGAAAAGCAGTATATACACATATAACAAATAAACTTCATATTATCTTTTGTTAATGGAAAGGCGAAAACAATTGAAATAAGGATAATAATTTACTTTGGACATTGTAGAATTCATTACTTTCCAGGGTGATTTAGCAGGCATTGAAATGTTACCAGCTCGCGGTCTAGATGTTGGTAAATATGAACCAAGTGTTTGCGTTTTCGCAAAATCAGTATCAAGATAATCTTGTGAATGCGATATTATTGATCGAACAGTGGTATTTGAAGAGCGACGATCAGAACCTAAAGAACTTTTAGAAGAAGAGGCAAGATCAAGTGGTGATGTACCCTTTGTCGGAAGATAAATTTTTTTCGAATTAGTTGGTATTTGAGAAGTATCATTACAATTTGAACTTGACATTAATTCCTCAGAAATATTCTCTTCTATTAAGTTGATTGAAGGCATAGTCATATTGGAAAAATGTTCGTAATCCGACAGAGCTTGTTTTAGCTCTGTATTAGACTGTAAACGCAGACAGAAAAAGTGAGAAAATAATAAAATCTATAGCGTAAAATATTCACAATACTAAACGGTATTTAAAGGCGGGTAAAATAAGAAATAAACGTCCATTTTTCTAGTGCTAAATTCATGAAAACAATACGAAAAATAACAATAAAAACTATTACATATACGAATTTAAAACTAAACATAATTTCTAGGAGCAGTAGACAGATAGATACCATCAACATAGAGCCTGATACAGTTGTGTATTGGTTCGAGTAGCTTATACCAGTTGCTATCACAAAAGGAATAAAACAAGAGACTAAATCTTCGGAATATATTTTAAAAAGATAAAGTGTAAAAGTACTCATGATGGAATAATTGAGTTAGAGATCGAGAGGAAGATAAGGATTGGACGCATCTGTGTGATTGTGACCGAATCTGAGCCATGTATTTGAAAGTATTAGGCCAGTGGTAGAAGTTATGACGGGGATACCAACTAGGCACTAAGCATCTATAAACATGGTACAGACCAACAGTCTATAGCTTTACGGAATAATGATAAATTTTGGTTTGGTCACACGATAAACTAAACGCTTTAGCAGAGCAATGGAAATTAAAATAAAAATATTCATCAGAACAGTTTTTATCTTATTCAATCAAAAGAAAAGTTGAATTCAAACCACTTCAATTGATTTTCTATGTAAATTGCATTTTAATTCTCTTTCTAATAGCGCAAATTTCATGAAATCGCTTCATTCGATTTTCGGACAGGCATTCTACTAACATTCCTCATTTCATATTGTCTCTACAAAGCGCAAGATTTTAATTTATCAAACATACAAACCATACCTATAGTTCGTTGAACTAAAATGGTATATTTAGTAGTGACAATAAGCCTGCGTGTTTGTGAGAATAATCATTTGGAATAAAGGATACAACTCAAACAAAGATTAATTAAATAACTCTTCTGACTTGAGCAAATAATCTTCAATAAAATTATTTACTTAATCTGTACTATGTACAGTAAGGAACAATGGTTACTGTAAATAGTTCACCTAAATGTTGAAACGTTAGCCGAATGACCTAGCGTGCGTAATTCACAATAAAACGTAAGATGGTTAAATTGCTAAGGAATCAACATGGACACTAAAGAGAATGATTCTACGTTATATAAATTCAACAGGCTGAAACATAATTGCAAACGACTTACTGCAATCGACTTTTGAATATGCTTGATAAAGGAAATAGCTCGATAACAAAGTAGTTGAACTGCAACGAATTCTGGAAACTGATGAAAACACAAACTCCTCTCATGTTGATTGTCGTTGCTGTTCACTGTTTGGTCATGATTTGAATCATTATTGCATGAAAAAAGATTATTAAGTTCTGAGACAAAATTAAAGACTTGTTTTAGATCTGGTCTTAAACTACACTCACACCGTGGGCAGATGTATCTCATACGTTCAGTTTCTGAATCCTATAAACCAATGATAAAAAAATAATCTACTTCAAGACACGAAACAATGACCTCCATCTGAAATGAAAACCTTTATTAATAGGAGTAAGAAACCAACAAATCAAATGATCATCTTCGAAACTTCCATAGTAAAAAGTAAAGCTCAAAACGCGGGGAGTTATTCGTTCTTTAGAGACAAAACTAATGATGGAACCTACCCAAAGAAATGTAACGAGCAGAATCCTAGCACAACCGGTATCGGGCCTTCTACTATAATCGTGTTGGTTTATTTAGTCAACAGATTTAAACAGATTTCAGTTATTTACTACTGTTTTCACTCTTATTTCTTTTTTCGCTGAAATCACACTTAGAAATTGTCTTATCCAGACTTTACTTTTTCTACAGATAAAACAGTTGTGTCTCTGATTCTATACAACATACAATAAACACATATCAATGCTATTTTAACGTCCACATTGAATTTTCACCTGATTAAGTCATTTGAAATACGTCACTAATAAATTAATTAAGCAGATTAAATCTTAAAACGTCAGGAAAATGAAACGTTTATTTCATCATAGATCTTGATAATTTATACTCTAAGTATGACTAAACTGAACAACTTTGTTGATAAATATACATATTACCAAATTAAGCAGCCCAAAAGTTAGTTCACCACGAAAATTCATAGATGATTCAAAAAAGGTAGAAGGATACATCCAAAATTTTGTCTATTCCAGGACCATTCATAAAATCAGTTTTTTCCCTTGTTTTTGGATAAAGGGTTAACTGACTAATCTACTAATCAGTAAGTATAATTAATATTCAACCAATGGACAAAAACTCTGTGAAAATGTCTTCAAGAGGTGCTATTTTATTAATTCATTTAAAAGATTACACTATCGTTTTTCAATAGATTAATAGGTGAACAAGCGGTTAAGGCAACCGGGTAGTATTATTATCTCTAGAACTTAGAGTGTAACTTATACTTATCTACTTGGTGAATGGACCAAACTCTTCTAACCAGCTTGATAATCCGATAAGCACATAGAAAACGAAGCAGGATAACTGTATACCAACTTAAGTAATCACATCCTAGACTGTTCTTTCTACTTCGTTCAGATGAGTGAAGACTTAGAAAAACGATACAATTCCTGAATATTAGAGGTTACTTTCTCAGTAGTTTAGTTTTTTATCCCTTTACTTTTCTTATTGTTGATGTCAAATCACAATGTCAAAACGTTGCAATTACGGTCAATATATACTTGAATCGTAGCATCGTGTTGTTTCTATCTGTATTTCCGTCTACCTCCCCATATGTATAAGGAATTGATGATAACATCTGCGATTTTGAAAGCAACATTCTATGATATAGGCACTAACTTCCATCATTATTTTAAACTTAATAAGGGAAAAAAATTGCTCAATAATTATCATGAACAAATGTTAGAATTCATTGCTCTAAAAAGATTAAGTAAATATAAACACTTACCTTTAAAGCTGGGAGTGTAACACATCGACCGTGTACCCAATCACGGCATAACTCACACTGAAGCATAAAACTAGTAAGTCCAGGCTGTCTACATATACAATAAACAATTTTCTCTTGATTTTTCGCTCGTGATTTTCGCATATTCGTACTACGCAAATAATGCATTAATGAAACTTCAGCTTCAACAAAACGATTATATGTTGAATTATACATTTGTTCCCAATCAGACACATTTGAAATTTTAGCGAATTCCTATGGTGAACAAAGTACGAAATATAACATTTAAACTCCAAGGAAAGTCATTACCTTTTAATTGAAAAAGTACATAAATTAGTCCTTAGACTTATTGAAAAGTGATCAGTTTGTCCAAATTCAAACGTTTTAGAGAGAAATTTATTTAGATATTAAATTGCGATTGATTGAACAAATTTAGGCTTTAAACCGGTGGGAAAATTGTATATAAGGTTTCTGTAATAGATAGAGTTCCATCTTATAAGTAAAACTCTATTCGTTATTTTATCAGCTATACTATTTCTATGATCTACAAGAACTGAATGTACTAGGTTAGATTCCCAGTGTGGTCGTCGGTGAGAACTGCTGGGGAATCACATGCGAGAACGAAACAACTGTCCAGTGTTCCCTGACTTTCAATGGTACCGTAAATGAGGTCAATACTAGCTACAATTTAAACTGATCTCCACAAAACAAATAATGAACTAAGTATGTCACAACATCTACCGCATAAGGTCATACTCCTCACAAACCAAATGATATTGATATTTATTTATTTATTTGAACACATACATATTAATACAAAGAGGCACCAGATACATATGCGCCACACAAATCTCATTTGATTTGTGTGAGGGCTGTGATATTGCCCGGGTCCCAAAACCGATGCAGGTGGGTTTTTTAGGGGGCCACACCCGGATCCTTTGACCTAAAGATCTGATCCACAAGGCAGTGGAGCATCGTAAGGAGATACAGTCCCATGGTAGCCGGTGACCAACGATTGGTTCATACGCCATTTGTTCCTTCAGGATACTGGAGCCCAAGTGCACCATTGGTTTGGAATCAGAGTTTTCCAACTCCTCTAGGTGGACCCTCCGTATCCACCAACCCAGTTAAAGCGAAAATGATATTGATGATTTGGAATAAAAGTGTTTGAAAACGTTTATCCCATTTATTAACCTACAAAGTATAATAATCTGTATAAAACGCAAATTATATCCTGAATATAATCATTAGAAGTAAAGAACACGAATAGAAATGTGATAACACTCAAATTGCCAATATACTAAATGCAAATAGAATACATATTCTAAGTAAATTTAAAGTATCCAACAACAACTCAAATAAAAGTGAAAATAAGTTACAAAAAATCTCGTTAGCCTTAAATCTTTTTAGAAGAGCCAACAAGATCATCACCTCAGAAGAGGACAAACAAAAAGAACAAAATAATGTAATCAGCATCTTAAAATCTAATAATTTTCCTATGAAGATTATTAGAAGTTTATTAAAACAAGACAGTTTATCAAGTAATAATAATAACAACTCGAATGAAATGCCGTGGATTGGTACTGCAGTTTTACCTTAACGTCATGGCACAACTGAAGAACTCCAAAGGATCTTAAGACAACACAGAATTAAAGTATATTACAAAACAACGAACACACTTCGAAATACTTTAGTTCGGTTAAAAAGAAAAATCTCTTTCATGTCGACACAGAACTGCGTCTACAAATTAGGTTGTATCGATTGTGATGCCTTCTCTATTGGAGAGTCATCTCGCGAAATCTTGACTCGCGCCAAAGAACATATTAGGTACACAAAGAAACCTCCTAATAATCCTGTAGAATTAGATAGACTTCAAATTAAATCGGCGATAGCACTTCACGCCATATTCAACAATCATCAAATTGACTTCAAAAATATCAAAATACTACAAAAAGGTTTTTCCAACTACAAAGAAAGAAGAGTAGCTGAAGCTTTCCATATAATGCTTAATCCCACAGCTCTCAATAGAAAGGAAGGCCTTACCATACATCCTACCTGGAGCATCTATCCTAGGAACTTAGTCTGATATTATTTACAATTTTACACCATTACATTACAAATTAAACTCTATCCTTTTTCATTATAAAGGTCACACATTTGTCATTATTAACAGTGCATACATTACATTACATACATTACATTCAAGTCGCTTATGAATCACCTTGACCGAAATGAAATGACGTGACATTGATTTATTCAGATCTGTTTTTGATTGATCACCTAATATTCTTTGATTGTTCCGTTGTACTATTTAAACTTGGATTAATGTTAATTTGGTTATTTATTCTCTGAAGAAGTGGCTTACACTGAGTCACGAAACGTCAGAAAATCTAATTTTTCTACTCATTGGGATATTACAAACATATTATTTATTTAAAAAATATATACGTTTTACAACATAAAATAATTTTCAAGCAACATCAAAATTTTACAGAATTGTATGTTCGTAGATAAAGCAATAATAATCTTACGTTGAGCCATTTGATTCAGCTCGTTGAAGTAATTCTACAAACATTATATTCATTATATATAGTAACAAAACGGAAGTATTCTTTTCATTTAGACTAATAATAATAAAACGAATAAAGACACTTACTTGTACATGATCTTTACATAACGATTTATATGTTAATGATTGAAAATGTGGACTACGCGTATGCCGTTTATATGTAGTAGGTGGACAGTTGTTTGCATCTAAATTGAAATTATTTCTATATGAATCCGGTATAATATCTGGATCACCATCTAAACGAATAAGCCATTCTAATGCAGATGCTGATCTAGGCAGTAGAATTTCTAATAAACTTCGAGTTGATTGTGGTCGTATAAATAATTTTGATAATTTTTCATGGAATTTATTCAAATCTGATAGCTAAAAGTTCATTGATAAAAAAAGAATGTGAAGAGAAAAAACAATAACCACGTTTATTTCCATATTTGAAGTGAGTAATACATAGAATAAAATCAAATACCGTCTATTTTAGAGCGAAAAAAATTTCCCTTCTTTGCGTCGAAACGAAAAAAAAGACTTTCGATTCAGTCTGCAAGATGATTACATCTAACTATTTCATCTATACCACACTTAACGTTCGATCATTCACCAACCTCAGTTATAGTAACATCATGCATCAATTACACCGTGTAATTACATAAACTTCTAATCAGAATAAAAGAGAGTCATAAGTTCCATATAAATTTTATTCATAACTTATATATATATATTGCGTACAAAAATTTGTAAATCTCACATGACAGTTTACAATTAAAACGACAGTTCGAGATTTTAAAAACTGACTAACACACAGTAATTACGGTAAGTAATGAGCTTAAGGAAAGTCAGTAATGGTAAGTAAATATATAAGTGACCTGAGAAAATCACTCGATAAATCCTCCTTAGAGTAATGAATCATTAATCGGGTTTGAATTTTTTTTCATTCTTATTTCTTCCCAAAACATATTTTGATTTATTGTTGAAATTATGACTAAATGTCCAAAGATTAGTAATTTAAAATTACTTATATTTCAGCATTCTCCATCCAACTCTCTCCTGGGCAATGTTTTCTAGTTTTTTCCGGTTGCTATTCATCCTTTTCATGTCTACTTTCAATTCTCGGAGCAGTGTATTCTTTGGCATTCCTCAGATCGGTTTCCCTTCAACATCTCAAGTCAGTGTATGGTGCTTCATGATGCAGTTTGATGATTTTTTCGATATATGCCCTATCCATTTTCAGAGTCTTTTCTTAATTTCCTCTTCAGTTAGAAGCTGGTTCGTTCTCTCCCACAATAGGCTGTTGCCGATTATATCCAACCAACGGACATTCAGTATCTTGCGTAGACAAATGTTTAGAAATACTTGCACATTTTGATGATGGTTGCAGTAATTCTCCAAGTTTCAGCTCCGTACAGTAGAACTGTCTCAACGTTCATATTGAAGGTTTTCACTTTGATATTGGTTGACATTTGTTTTGAGTTCCATATGTTCTACAACTTAGGAACACAGTCCTTGTTTTGCCAATCCTCACCTTTACTTCTGCATCAGATCCTCCTTGTTCATCGATGATGCTACTGACCAGCTACGTGAAAGTCTCCACCTCTTCCAGAGCTTCTTCATAAAGTGAGATTGAATTTGTGTTCTCCATGTTTCATTTGAGGATCTTGCTTTCTCCCTTGTGTATGTTGAGGCATACTGATTCAGATGCTGATGCTACACTAATTGTCTTGACCTGCATTTGTTCATGTGTATGTATAGAAGGACCAGATCATCTGTGAAGCCCGAATCTACTAGCTGATTCCGAGCTGTCCATTGTATTCTGTGCTTTTAGTAGGAATACAGACCGTGAAACCGTGGCCTATAGATTCTTTTGATGTTATTTTTGAAGTTTGTAGCAAGAGGTGTCAGTAAAGTTACATGGCAGCGAAATTCGATGTAAGGCCTCCTCGTGGCGCTGCTGGATAGTATGGGCAACTTTGCTACCCAACTTAGGCGGTAACAAAGGTCGGACTGATTATCCACTTTATTGTATCTGATCACCTTGGGTTTTAAACTAGAAACTCACTCACACATTGCGGACTACCCGATGTGTGTGCTTATGTATAAGAATTTCAGAAGTTTTCGGACTTATATAGTTCAAGTATGTAGGTATATGCAAAGGGTATACGTGCGCTGTCGTACAAAGGAAATGTTGAGCGGCAGAAATACCTGCCTTATGTCTAATAAAATCAGAGGCCTATGTATTAGGTCGAAGATATAATAAAAAGATATGGTAGCAAATACTAGGGCGAGGTGAATATCAACCTCCTCTGAGAGAGTGCTTATGCTTACGGGAGTGTCAGGAATTACTGAAGTGGTAACCATGGGCTGAATTATATGCACGTAATGCGTAAGAGACAGTCTGGTGTAGCAAACAGGTTTCTTTGGGAGAGGTGAACATCTACCCTCCCAGGTAGGTGAATATACTTATATGTATGCCATGGGATACATGGGGTAAAACCTGTGTTTCCGGTGTGCATACAACGTATATTCGCTCACAGAGTATGTATACCTGTATATATGGCAAGTGATACTCGGATGAAAGTCTGTGTGTAAACTAGCAGGCATGTAGACTATAACTATCCAGGTCAAGTAAATTCCAGGAAATCTTTTACTTGTTCTTTGGTGCAATACCAATTGTACGCAAAGACCTGTGGGGCTGCTGTTCCCCACTAAATCACATTTACGCGGTGAGTATGTGAGCCTCGAAGGACAGAATTCATTTCAGGAGGTCCGAACACGGACCCCAGTAGGTTTTAGCAACCAATCTGACTGGAACACCGTACCACAGGGATAACTGACTTGTGAGGTAACAGAGAATGAATATGCCTGTGTTGTTGCGACCGATTCTGTGTGACGCCATACAACATTCCCAACCACTAGTCACGGCAATCATGAGGACCACAACCAGGTAGACCATAGTTACCAACGCAACTTAGCCCAACAGTCAGTGACTTTACAGATTTATGATGTCTACGTTTAGGAGCTCCTAACATCTCTCAATACCTAAGTCGATGAAAATTTGATACCTCATTATCGAATTTGTCGTATTTATTATGTACAGTTCATTAACATAGGGATAGACTCAATCTTTGCTTCACATCTCAAGTGATGAATGTATGCTTAATGTACACAAATATATGAAGCCATTCATCGATAAAAAATCGTACTTTCAGAATAACCAGAAATAATTGATTCAAACTATGTGATATTTTTAACAGGAAACAATTTGAAAGCAAAAAATTACACCCATATTCTTGTATGGAGTGAAAGCAGTTGTAATTTCATAATCAAACAGTATATACAACTGATTTAATCAAATACTTAAAATAATAAATACATCTTTTTGTGATATCCTAATCATTAGGGAAATTTTATTCTTAATGTTTTGTGACTTAATGTAAGTCACTTCTTCAGGGTAAACAAATGTACTTATATAAATATAGTGAATATATTCATTATTAACTTTATACCCGATGCTCAATAAATTTGAAATTAACAAGTCCAATCTTAGCATTGATACCTACAAATACTTAAGTCTAAAACTACAATTAAAGTAATCTTAAACAGTTATTAGTGTGTACACATTTCAAATTAGGTTTATCAATAACAAAACAGTAGCATATCACCGTATATATATATCCCTAAACATGATATAAAACTCCTTACTAGTTTCCTTATGGAATCATTCTGCGGGAATTTTATGACACAGTCTTGTATATTATCTTCTAATGTATTAAAATAAGACTGCCAATTGATTGGAGTGGAATTCACTGAGCCTAAGCCAACCTCGTCTAATATTTCTTGATCCATAGTACATTGATTAATACCATTATTATCTGCAGTATTTGCTTCTTCTTCTTTTTTATTCTGTCTCCCTTCTGTATAACAACATTGTTCTTGTTTAAAAGTGTTTCGATTGTACTCATTCAGTGATGATGGTGATAATGAAACATTCTGTAAGAGTAACTTTGCAAATAATTCAAATTGTTTCTCATATTTCTCTGCTTTCTCACATATTAATTGAACATTGGTAATGGCAGTTAATTGAATTGGTAATTGTTTGGCTATAATTAATTGTTCTTTGACTGAATTCAAAGATAAACTACCAGGTCTACAAGAAGAATAACATGAAGAAACAATAGACAAAAAGAATGAAATACATAATTTTTTATTTTGTAGACGATAATGCTATGAAATACAAATAGCATAATCTCACATATTTATGACAAGTGTAATTAGTTATCACAAATGAAAGTACATGCATATATATTGTTAGATTTCACGAAACTGGACTAAACACTAAACAGTAGTAAAACAAGTAAAACTGACATTTGCTAATATAGTCTTATTTAGTTTAAATGTGACGTAATCTATGGGTTTATGTGCTCAACTTGTAGTGCTGATGTGAGAGAGTCAGTTATACACAATAAGAGTCTCTGCCCCACAACCGAATTAGGTAAAACAAAGTTAGAATCTGAAATCTATCAGTTGAGAATCAATTTGTGTTTTTTTCTTTAACAACTAAGCCATCGATCCATCCAACACTGAAAGCCTGAGGACATTTAGTTAAAAATGATTAATTTTTTTCTAAAACAAAATGGATTCTTTTCTTTCAATAATGAAAATAATTCCAATGTATTGATACTCTTGAATACTATTTTAGCTTAATTAAAATCTAGAATTATATCGTCATAATGGGTTAGAACATTTATAAGTGTATATGGTTACAGAGGTAATTCACTTATAATGAGCACTCGTCAACACAGACTGATCAAATGCAGTCCATAACACCAATGACGAGAAGATTAAAACCGTTACAAATGAATAATATCACTATATATTTAAACTGTTTAATAGTATGCGGGAAAAGAATATAAAACATGAAATCCCCCATCTCCATTGTTGCCACTGCTTTAAGGATTTCATAAATAGCTTTTCAGATTCGAAAGTGAACAAATCCAATGCTAATCGACAGATGAAATGCATAATGAAGCATTGCGGCTGAGTAGTGACGACTGCTTCTAAACCCCCATCTACTTTTCGCCCATGGTCGAACGATTTAAGATCGAAAACAAGACCCCTAGCCAGAAAACATTTTTTATTGAGAAAATAACATGTTTATACATAAAAATTACACGATTAGACATCATAAACAAATGGACAAAATTAATTGTATAGGTCGCTCACTCTCAAAAAAATTAAACGTGTTTGGCTTACTCGTATAAACGAATATATACAATTATAGTGTAATTATTACCTCATATTTCTGAGAACATAATAACGTATATATATATATATATATATATATATATATATATATATATATATATATATATTAGAAGACAACAACACAATGTAAACCAATAAGTAGACAATGTTATCATAATTGGTGAAAACAAAGAGGAAAACGTAAAGTCGTTTAAACAGAAAAAACCTGGAACTTCAAATTAATATATGATAGATTACCAAAAATCGTATTCTTCTAAAGAATTTATGAGTACGATTCAAACATCCCTAAAACTAATTCATAAATCATTCTTTGAATTATAAAAAATTTCAGTGAAAGTATTATTCAACATCAACAAGTATCTGCGGATAAGAAACTATAGCGTAAATAAGATTACCAGATATTTTTTACGCTTTCGATAAATAGATGCTCTAAATGTGATAGATACATGAAATGATCTAGATGAACAATTTTATTCTCTGAGCTTAATTGTCACCAAATCAATGAAATCAAAGTTTTACATGACAGAGCTACCAAGAGGAATTAACAAATATGATTTGCAATCCATTAGATCACTAACGTTTAACGACATTAGAAAATGGGTATTAATACAATAGAGTGATATGTAGGTATTTAAAAGCAATTCACTTTCAAGTACTAGGTACAGGTCTCAGACTCAGAGATCTAAGTTGTCTAGAAGTATTATCAACGCTTTCCTAGACAAAAAACATTAATATATAAATATAGCATTAATATGTAAATATTGAATTATATTCGCATTTATAAATACAACGAACTTTTAGTAAACATATAAACTACAGTAGTTTGATATAGAAATTATGATAATTTCTTCTTTCCAATAAACCTTAAGCTTATAATTGTATAGTGAATACATTTGAAAAGTTTGAAACGTGAAAATAATAATCTGTGAGGACGGTCCACGGGTGAAGTTGAGGAAGCTCTAAGAAGCTCAGAAGGAGCCGAGTATATTCCACCCCATCAGCTTATGGAAGAATATTCCAGAATCCCTACGTCTAGCTTCCCCATTGGACAATGCTAATAACCCTTGTGTGCGGATTGGATAACTATGATGATAATTTCGTTTCTACTAAAAACTATGAATACCTGCCAGTTTTGTACCATAATTGACACCGTTTGGAATAACATTTCTTCCAATTGTTTTCTGTCTTCTCATTTTGCGACTTGGGAGTGTTCTAGCGTTCCAGTGCTCAAGTATTACGCGACATACTAAGAATCTAAGTTTGAGGTATAACATAATCTCATTCCAATACTTAACGATACAACATTCAAATTAGTAAAAATAATAATAGCATTAAAATAATACATACTTGGCTTGAATAATTTCATTTAATTTTTCTTCAACCAACTTTACTGTAGATATCGTTTCTAAAAGATGACGACTTTGAATACTTAAAACTGTATCTAATAAACTATGTGAAGAAAAATTATATGATGAATAGGCATTTTCGGGGATATTCATTACATAAGCAATAGCTGAAGCTACGTGACTTCCTTGAATTTGTAAATCGCATAGATTACTTAATGTTGGTTTACTGGTAATTGTAATATTTTTTTCAATTTTCTCATGAACAGAATTTGATTTATAATTCAACGCTTTGTCCACTTTTTCTAACCATGTTAGGCATTCATGAACCTTGACAAAAATTAGAAAAGCAAAAATCATACATAGTTGGAGTAAATCCTGGTTTTGACTGAAAACAAACCGGTGTTAGCCACTAATAAAATTCGTCTACATATTTGAAAACAGATAATGCTTTAAATTCACTTAGAGTTGTTTACTTGTATTTTTTTTCATTATTATTTAGGACTGCAATAGATCAGTATCTTGTTGGCGATAACGCGATGGCGTTTGAAGCGGACGGTACTGGGTTCGAGTCCCAGAGTGAACATCAACTCTGTGATGCGGGTACATCCAGCTGACGAGTTCCAAATAGGATGAAACGCGCGTTCTGGATTCCACTGCTAAGTACTATCCATCTTTGCTCAAAAAGATAATACTTTGTTAATAAATCCTAAATATGTGGGAATATATCATTACAGTTTAGTTCTAGTCAGTATGAAATCCGTACTTTAGCTGGTTCCTATTTAAATCACTTGCAAAATTAACACTTCTCCCTTTTAATGAATCTATCCAACATCGATAAACAAAGCTGCGTGAAATACAAGGACAAATCGTTGATAGTGTTAGATTCTCCCCGTTGGAGCGCTAAACTTTCACTGGTATTCTTGAAGAAATCATTAGCTCCCACTTCACGCATAACTGATCAATAATTTAATTATCCCACAATTGCTGATGGTTTTATCCAGAACGAAAAGGAAAGCTTCATAACTTAACCACTTAATTCAGAGAATACCTACCTGAGCTACATATGTTCTCCAACATTTCACAATGGAGAGAAAAACTTAGAACAATAACTTGATATTTTGATATAGTATTCAATATATCAACCTAGCAACTGAAAGTAGGCTAAATAACTTAATTTTTCTGTCAACAGTAGGCCTTTTGATAGGTACTTTTATAAGTGACTATTAAATAATAATGAGTTAAGGTGAATGTATATGTAAAGAAACAATTCATGTATGTCTAGGAAGCAGTCCTCATCGCAAATGTAGTTAAAAAAACTTGTATGTATTCACATTTTTATTGAACACTATTATTCTTAATGTCCATGAATAATAATTGGTCATTGACAAGTTTAACGTTGCCATTGCAATAATTTCTATTGGAAAATAATACCTACACGTGATTACAATACAATGGTATATAATTCGTAATAACTATACAACTGAACTTACTCTTTTCAATTGATTTAATTCGGGTAGTTCAATATCAATCGCGCTGCCAACGTTGATATATTCTGCAACTTTTATTACGGAGGGCAGTACTGATCGAAGTTGTAGCTCTATTTTAAATAGATCACACAAACTACTGCTATCATTAGTAGTAGTGTTGATGTCGGAAATAGATGAGGAAATAATGCAATCATCATTAACATTGACATTATCATTACCATTATTATTGTTATTAAGAAAAGGTTTCTTGTTTAGGTTTACTAACAAATCACGCACTTCACTTCTCCATCTAGTGATATGATCAGCTAATTCTTGTAGATCTTTGTATTCCGGTAAAATAACAGGTAAAGTTGAAGCTAATTTAACTAGACTAGCGAATTCATTTAGTGTTAGCTACATTAAAACGTTAATAAAACAAAATAAAATAATTAATTTTAATGAAAAGTTCCAATGCACATCCTTTTTAACAATACACAATCATACTACTGGTGAAAACAACAGTGATTACCATTTAATAACAGAAATGTTGATTTCAAATTTATACACGAGATTATTGGTAAAATCTTGTTCTAAAAACGATTAAGTTTATCTCGACTGGCTGTACAATTCATTCTGTAGACAAATATTGTCATACTATGAAATTTCCACAAAATCACATGATATTTATTTACTAAGAAATAAATAAACCACTGAGTGTGCGGTTCAAAGCTGACATAATTGTTTATAATTACTTCAGTTGATAAATTTTGTGTCGAAGAACAATAAGCTATGGTAATCAAGGATCGCATAATTTCGAACGTATGGTTTGAATACTAACTTTTCCGTTGAAAATACAAGTATGTGTGATAACCAGTAAACAAAGCTAGTGTACGCTTATGAGTGAATAACATGAATATTACTTAAATACTTACTTATACCTGTTAACCCTCATGGAGGAGCATAGGTCACTCGCCAGCATTCTCCATCCAACTCTCCTCTGTGCAATCCTTTCTATTTATCCTTTTCACCTTATTTTTGTAATCTTATTTTGAATTTCTTTGTTTTCGCACCAAAAGCGCTCTTTTCACCTTTGTGTCGGATTTCCCACTCGGGAAAATCTTAGACGCTATTGGTCCGTTGTATCTTTTAGTATGCTATTTTGTAACGCTTCCCAAGGACAGTTCTATGCTGTATATATATATATATATATATATATATATATATATATATATATATGTTTAATTTCTTCTTGTTGTTATTGCTTGTGCTTCTAGCTGCCTACGGAATCTATTTTTCCCACTTCCAACTTGGACTTCTCACTCTAGTTAGTGGGTCTGGGACGCGTCAGAATAGATAGCTTGTTAGTCTCTGGTCACAAGTCTTGATCTGTTCGCAGAATAAATGAACTTGTAACCGCTTTAACATAACAGTGGTCCGGCGAGATCCATGTAGCTTTGCGTTTGTGTGGGAGTATTGTGCCACCTATAACCAATTTGTTGAATGCACATAGATTTGCAAATCTCTCCCCAAATTTATTTCTCTCTCCCAGTCCATGTCGTCCCATGATATCTTCATGACCGTTTCTCATTCCGACTTTGGCGTTTAGATCCCCATCAGGATGGTGAGGTCCTTTCTTGGGCACTTTGCTATGATCGATTTCGGCCTCTCATAGGATCGATCTTTAATGTCGTCGTTGCTATCATTTGTGGGTGCATAACATTGGATAACATTCATCGTGATCCCCTCCTTCTTTGTTTTGAATGATGCTTTGATAATTCTGGATACACGGGATTACCATCCTATAAGTGCTGCTTCTTTGGACAGCATCAGAACAACTCCCTGAGTGTGTGGAGCACTTTCCTCTTCGTGACCGAAGTGAAGAAGCATCTCTCCCGCGCCTAACTTTTGCTGTGCAGGCTGGGTTCAATTGGTTTCGCTAATCCCGAAAACCGCCAAGTTATATGTCCTCATTGGCGTTGCTATTTGACTGGTCCTCCCGGTCTCCTACATTGTCCGGACGTTCCATGTGCCTGTAAAAATTGTTTCTCTGGTTGTTAGAAGGGGCCTTGTGACTTCCGAAGAATTTCGGCTTTCACCATGAGGTGTCATAATTATTCCTTCAACTCCCAGAAGAGTAAAAATGGTTTAATTGGTTTATTCTGGTTGGCGTTTCTTTAGAAAGGTTGTTTTCAACAGGATAAGGTTGTTGACCCCGCGCCCAATCCTCCTGCCTTACCCAGGCTTGGAACCAGCGGTAGCCCTAGAAGATCTACATGCGGGAATAACGTGAATATAGCTAAGGTATATTAAACGATAGTAACCTGAATAATATATGGCTGCTTCTACCATTTTCTATCATTTTGATTCGTTCAAAAATCCGGTAATAAAAAATTGTCAATATGACTGACAAATTCAAAGAACCGTCAATACATATAGGTATCATTACCAAGTTTTGATTTGATAATTTTGAATAAATTGAGCATTGGGTAGATTGTTATAAATAAATAAATAATATATTTGTAATATCCCAATGAGTAGAAAAATTAGATTTTCTGACGTTTCGTGACTCAATGTAAGTCACTTCTACAGATAATAAATAACCAAATCAAAATTAATCCAAGTTTAAATAGTACAATGGAACAATTCAAGAATATTAGTTGATTGATCAACTAATATTCTTGAATTGTTCCATTTCACGTCAATACATACTTTAGAAATAGGTGAATCTTGCATGTCATTACTTATGGATGCCCATGAGACCCACGTCTTTAAACAACAAAAGTTGTGAAAGAAGAAACCATAAATTTAAACAACAAACTTAAACGTATTTGTGCACCCGGGGAGCATCCCAACCCACAGAAACTCCATGATTTGTGCGACGTATAGATTTTGGTGCCCCTTTTGTACTATTGCTGACATGTTTAAATAAATAAATCATTCGATAAATCTAAGCATAAAGTATACTTACTTTCGAAATAAAAGGACCTTTTGATGCGGAAGATTTATTTCTAGTCCGATTTGAACTGGCGTAATGACAACTGGTACTTCTTGACCTGAGTTTACGACAACTGTTATTATTATTATTACTATTATCACTATTATTATTACGATAGTTGGCCCTTAATGAAACGTTCACTTGTTCGTTTTGATTAGTCACCTCCGTTTTATCCTCTTCTCTTTGTTCTAACCTTTCTGTATAATCATCATTATCATCATCATCACCGTGAAAACTACTACTTAACCTTCGACTGTTTTTAGTAAACGAAGTAGCAGTAGAATTTCGAGAGTCTTCAATACTAACTTCATCATCTGTTTCTGAACTAGATCTGCTAGATGTTGAAGTGTGTAATATATTGTGTACAGTTTGATTAGTATTTTGTTTTAATTCTTCTTTGCGTTCAGAAGCCCCATTATCATTATCAGCATCATCATCATTCTCAAAATCATGATCGTCATCTTCTTCTTCATGCCCTGAATCTGTCGATTCAGATTTGAGGGATTTCATTTCAGTTTCTTGAGTGATTTTCATTGATTCACATGCATTCTTATAGCTGGTAATTAGTTTGCGAACGACTGATGAACATTCACTAATAGTATGAACCACGTAATTTAAACGTTCCACTAATGTATTGGGATACTGTCGTGACCGACCAAGTTTTAAAAGTTTCTGCAAAATATTTCCGATAAGTATAATATGGAAATATATCGTTATGAAAATACGACTGAATTAAGAGCGGATAATTATAAACACAAACGATACGCTGTGTAAAGACTTAGTGGTTAACAACACCAATAAACGGCCACTGTGTTTAAATATGTAGTATTTTCTCAAAAAACCTATACTTATTATCCAATTTAAAATCACTTCACCAATAAAGTCAATTAGGCTGGAACTAATTATAATGATTACATTAAGTTACTCGCGTGAATACTGAAAGTGTATTAAAAACTGCAATCAGCACAGAATGACCACATAACATAACTAACTGACAATTCGATAATCTATTCACGTACAATGGTAAGAGTGTCCTATTATACAACAAAAGTATATGTGAAAAAAGCTGTCCTTATTGTGAATACACTGTAATCTTTCTTAAATTAAATAGCATTTACACACGACTATGTTTGAAATAGATTTTATTAGACATTTACGCAAAGTGACTTTTAGCATCCTTTTAACAGATCCGAAAAGTCACCAATATAAACGTCATACGGTGATGCAGTGTCTGTGAAGAAGAATTGACAATTCTTATAGATAGAACTAAGGATGGCGTAAGGAACTCCAAGAAAAATAAATAAAACTTCGTTGATTAGATTTATTACCAGCAATTACAATACGTTTCACAAAATAGGAAATGTTTTGGTAGACAATAAGTAGCAGAAGAAATCCACTTTATTGATGTTCCTTACATTAGAGTTCTTTAAACTTATTTAGTCTTCGATTCATAGTAGTCTGATTAAAACTCAATCGAGGAAATGTGAACTGATGGCTTCTCATATAGATTCAACAGTTCTTGCTGATAACTATAGTGTCTCCTTATTCATACATTTCGCCTTTTACTTAAGATTTTATTGGAAAGGTACAATATGATGACTATTTGTGAAGCAATAGTTCAGTGGTTAGGGTATTCCACCATCAATCACTTAGATTTACCCCCCCCACACACAATTTGGTTAGGATAGTATTGTTGGCGCTAGTATAACGTTAGTAGAGCTCAAAGATAAGTACACAAACCTACGCCTGATAAATGAGTTAAAGAAATAAAAAGATGTTTTCGAATGGAGAACTGCCTTAATTATTATCTTCACTTTTTAATAGATTCGAAATATTCAGTAATACATTCCGTATGGTTTCACCTAATTGGTGTACAATACTCACGAATTTGTTATACTCTTAGCAATTCCGGCTTTTACATCTGTCATACTGTTTATGAATAATTATTGTAATCTTCCAAATAATAAAACAATTTGTTTTATTTAGTCGACCAATATTCAACACATGAGCTAAGTCTTTATCATGAAATGATGTCTGAAATTAATGTACAATAATCTCAAATAATATGTGTGTATTCATATCATTCTTAAAGTATCATTTAAATTGTGAAGTGATTGAAAATAAGTTATAGAATAAAATGTGACCATACCCTAGTTTCAGTTTTAATACTTTAAAAATGCATTAGAATATATACACTAAATAATAGGCAAACCCAGATGTGATGTGGAGGATTTTTGGTTAAGAGCAGATATTTTGATTCAGCTCTTATCTCTAGTGAAAGATTAGTTGAAGGAAGCCTCCTTCTGCAAGTATATGTGACAAGTAGTTTGCCACTCAGGAACTCATCAAAGTCACAGGACTAGAATTTGTCCACACTTACAGTGCTTCAGATGAACACAATTAAAATAAGATAGGACGAATCAAAAGTGGTTATTCATCGTCCGTATAAAACATAAGAACAGGATGACAAGGAGAAATAAACAAGTAAACGGAATGAATAATCATAAATAATTAGATAATAAGAATAAAGTAGATAAGTATAAATCAGAAATAAGAAATTCGAAATATGTCTAAGATATAGACGTAAACAGAAAGTCAAAGTATCTACATCATTTGAACAGACTTATTGTGACCTCACTTCAAGTTTCCAACAACTGACTTCAAGTACACTCGAATCACCAATTTTTCATATAGCACAGACCAACAGACAATGACTTTATAAAACGATCTTTTGAAAAGTACTATTCTTCCCGCTGTCTAGTGAAAATTTCTCGTATGTTGCGATAAATGATGTACTTGACATGCATAGTTGAAGGCTCACATTTTTACCCAACAACTTGCCGCTTATTTCTATAAACCCTCCACTGTTTATGATCTTGCTGGAGTCTTTTGAATACCTACAGTTAACTATTGATTGTATTATACAACACTCACTTTTTTCCACTAGTCATAAGCAATAGTACTGAATATTGATTGTTAGCCGTTGGTTTATGATGATACTTTAATTACGTTGTAGAAGTCTTTGGAATTTTTCAAGGGAACATATCTTTTATGGCCCTGGCGTTTGGTTATGTTAAATTTCTTCAAGAGAGCTCAGGTTCCAGAATGACTATCAGTTATGAATAAATGAACAATTCAACAGATTTTCATGCATCTTAAATCATGATACAAATACGACACTACATAGACAATAGGAAATCGAAATCCACAAACCGAACTAATTATGGATTTAACACTCGTATATGCGACAAAATATTACAGACACGTACGCAGTTTATGAAATGAACTAATACTGTAATTTCTACTACCACCATACTGAAATCTTATACTCATGATGTTCATTTTACGATTACAAAGATTATGTAAAAAAAATATCTATTCGATATTAAACCAGATTTAACATTAAAAGTATTTAAACTTGAAGATCGTTTCCTGAAGCTAAGAATTGATTGTAAAAAAATGGACCTTAAATAAACTACTTTACTTTTATCAGTTTTTTACATAGTTATGAGTAATGTAGAACCTAGCAAATACGTCCATCAGTTTAAATCCCCACACCACATTAGCACAGCCAAACGAAATGATCAAGAAAGATATCTAAGTAGTTGAAGTAGTAAAGGTATCGCTGGTAGCAAAAAAGATTAAGTATAGATAATATGATTACAGAAGAAAGAATAATAAAAAAGATCAAAAGTCAAGATCTAAAGGAATACAAATAGTGGATTCACCTATACCATTTTGGTTTATTCTCAAATTAAACGTCTCGAACTGTTAAGATAATCGCGCGAACCTCAGTCAGGTAGTTTAAACCAACGAATACGGCTCAATCAAGCGTCATAACGTCATGGACAGGTGCAATGTCTTGGTTTGGCTTCTAGCTATCTTCCAACCTACTCTTTAATCAACAAACATCGAGCGTTAAGGTTTGTGGTGGTTTAGCCATACTTTTATTATGCATGTGAGGGTTAGTGATATCAACCATCTAGTTGTTCAGATGAACGATAAAGGGATTTCTTGCCCCATTATAATACTTTTACTTATTATAAATCAATTCTTTAATTTTTCATCTATATAAGTCATGCTGTTAAAGTACACTGCTTTAGATGGTTATCCAGTCATATACAAAGCAAGATATGACACGACTAATTGTAGATTGAAGGTTGCCGCATTTCATTACATCAGCATGGTAAGAGAAAAATGACAAGAAACAAAAATCTCGGTGACAGTGTAAAATCGAACAAAAACAAATATTTTTACACGTTTTGAATCGCGAGCTGAGCTAAGCTAGACCACTATTGGAAACCAAGACTATGAGACTCCTTGGCAGTGGGCACCCACAACCCCGTATTCGAGCGTTGAACCCGGGACCTTCGATCTGGTTTTAGAATACTTAACATTTAGACCACTCAAACAGCATCCAACAGTGTTAATGTTTAACTTCAATTAGTTCACAATATTGTGCGACCAACAGCCGAAAACCCTAAACGATTGAGCAATACCCTAAACTTATTGAAGTTGCAAATCAACACCATTGGATGCTCTCTCAGTGGTGTAGAAGCTGAGTGTTCGAGCACCAGACCGAGGGTCCAGCGTTCAATTCCCAGATGTCGGGTCGTGGATGCCCACACCTGCAGAGTCTCATACTAGGACGAAACAGCCGCCTAATGAGTCACGGTTTCCAATGGTGATCTAGCTTATCTCGGTTCGCGATTTAGAACCTGAATAAATTGTATAATCTCCACAAAAAGAAATATACATTGAATGAGTTTTCAAAATGGACATCAAAACCTAAACAAATCACTTCATAACTTACATTTAAATCAAACAGAGTTAATTTCTGATGCTGTTCTGGATCAATTTTCAAAGAAATAGACGATGAAGGCTTTGAATCCACTAACATGAAGCAGAAATAAAGTAATGATAATCACAGTAAAGATGTTACGTAGTAATACCATAGTAGAGAGAAATGATTAAAACAAAATGATGAACGAACGAGAAATAACGATTTGTGGGACAACTACATTGTACTACAATAGAATTAACAACAATTTTTTATATTATTCTTATTAAGTAAATGAACTAAAGTTGAAAATTTTAGATGACAGTATTTGGCACAATGGTTTAAATAATCACTAAAATAACCAAAGGGATTAAGTTACAGTTTTCGTGGACGGTTGGACGATAGAAGATGTGTAGTCTACGTTACAAACTTATCTTAGTTATACATCTATTGAAGACCAGAAAGCACTAAATAGCTGTTTCGTCCCAGTATAGGACACAGTAGCAGTGAGTACATACGGCCTAACTGGGGAAGGGACTGAAAACCTTTCAGTCTTACCATAAGCACGTAAGTGTTAGATTGCTGAGACAAAAACTAATGATTTACAGTTCTAACATTGAAACAATTCGACATATTGAGGTATTCTTAGTGTAAAATATAAAATTCAACAATATCCTCTCACAACTTTACACTAACAATAGAGATTTATGATTAAAAGACGTTACAGCTAAGCACTAATGATAAGATTTATTAAAACTATGTAGAAACGACGGTAATAATAAGAATAATCTTTCTTACCAGTAGCAAGTTCATTTTTGTTGTCAGTATCTAGTTTAGTATCAACGATAATATCTTCACGATCATTTTCTTTAGTATTATTACTACTAACAATACTGGAATTATTAACACTATTATCAACATTATCACAAATGGATAATTTTAAATAATTATTTAATTTCAATAGATCTGTTTGCTGCTCTAAATTATTACCAGATTTATTATGATTGATTTCAGTAGTAGTATTAGTAGTAGTTGCTGTTTTGAGCGCAGATGATAATTTCACTGTATCAACAGGGTTTTGCATTGCACTAAATACTTCATTTTCAATTTGATTCTTCCATTGTTCAAATTCAATTAATTTTGACTGTAATTTTTCCTTAAATTCCGTCAATTCATCTAAATCATAACGATAACGCATAATTTGGCTATCACGGGGACAACAAGTACGTATTTGATAGTGAGCTAAACAAACCATACCTAAAAAAAGATGTTGAAGAAAAGCTAGGAGAGGAGTTTCAATGGTAAAATATCAATTAGTTTAAATAGTTTAAATTTATGTTTAGTTTAAATAGTTTAAATATATGTAGATATTGTAATGTCTCCCCAATTACTAATAACCGCTACATTTAGTTATGGTAACTATCTACTTGATGTTACTCACCTAAAATGACTTGAATTAGAATATGTTGCCGGAAAGTTCAGATGCCCCTTAATGGTTGAACGTAAGGGGTATTGCTAAATATTACTAGCCGTAAATACATCACCACTAATAACCAAGCAAAAAGGTCATGTGAAATAATGTCCAATATATTTATACCTTAGAATGCATGTGGTTACATTAATCGGTGTATTAGGTGGGAAATGTTAATGTACCTTATTATTAACATCAATAGGATTTGATCAGACAACAGCATACGATAACTAACTCAAGTAACCAGGTTATGCAACTATTCAATTACTTCATAACTTTTTAACGATAAAATAAACATTCTTATAGACCAATAATAAAAAACCATTTCCGTTTAGCAGATGCTACTCATACACTAGAATTTCAGATTTCTGAATAATGTATTCAAAAACAGCCTTCCAAGTCAGATTACTTTTTACAAGATTTCAGGAGAATTCGTTTCCAGGTGCACAGCTTTCGGAAGGCAACGCATCTTTTAAGTGCTGACAAAGATTAGACTAGACCTGTTTGTTGAAAGAGTTAAAAGTCGGTTTCAATATGACAATCCCGGCTATTAATCATATATGTATTGCAAATCAGACATTGATTATATTTGATCTATTTATATTGAATATCTTGCTAGATTCCCACAAAATGATAGTTCTGTAATAAAGAGCTTAACAGTGAACAAACGACCTTAGCAAACTGTTTGGATTACCATAGTTCTAGCTTTAGAAATAACTTTAAATGCACAAGTGATACTGTTTATGATAACGCATAGATGAACATTAAAGCACATCATAGTTGTTCGTTAAATTTCTTACTTTCCGAACATTTACACCCCAACGACGACAAGTAAAGTGTTGTCCTACATAAATCACATTCTCTTTTTTCGTCTTCCGAATTTTCAAAAACCATTCGTTCAGTAAGTCTAACACCAATCCTCGCCAAATGACGTCTTAAACTACGTTCAGTAGTAAGTAAATCACCTAATTGTTTTGTGATAACCGTTAGAAATTCCACACTGAGTGGTTCAACAGACTTAGCCATACGACACAACAATTCTGCATGTGAGAAAACTGGAGTTCTATGTAAAAGTGCATAGTGTTCAATACAGTTTCGCCCATATTCAAGCTGAAATAAATAAAAACAAGACAGTGTCAGTTAAGAACGTTTGAAATAATATGCAACATATGAGATCATTACAACAGTTCATTTAGGACACAAAATGCGTAAACTACAACATCACAAAATACAAAACGATACTTAAAAGATCATTACTTATATAGATTAAAATAAATCCAACATCTCAATAAAAATAGTGAACACCAAATAACTGCTTAGATCTGATAAACAACTTTTTCAAGCATCCTGAAAATTTTGTCTACAATAGCAACACTTATCGCATACTTATTCATTTATCACATTCAATCACACGCACGAAACTTGGAGATACAAACCAAGCTATTAACTTTTGAATTTTGGAATAAGCAGTGTCTAGATGACCAACAACTGATAAAATGAAGAATGTGTATCCCTTTAGTTAACCTAACCTTTAAATTTCCTAAAATCAAAGATAATAACTTGTGCTCTACTAATTATTATTGAATTGGAGTAAGTTGTTTACAACCTTATCAGAACGCAGGATCAAATTACTAGCTAAATACATCTACACGTCTAGGTGATAATGCAATTCAAGTTAACATTTAGGTATAACTTTAGAGAGACAACATAACACCAAAAATATATGGTTTGCCAAAATCTCTCTATACACAAAAACTGGGCATCTTATCCTTCTTTTTTTCTGCTACACATCCAACATTTGAATAATCGTTCAAAAGATTGAGTGCAAAACAAACGAACAAGAATTCATCGGCAGAAAGCCCTGTTATGTTTACCCAATCTGCCGGACAAAAGTTGACTGCTTCCGCAAAGTTAAATCCTTGATTGAAACCAGCATGGAAAGCACGAGGAAATGTTACTACGAATTCACCGACCATTTGGTCAGTACGATAAACAGGGACACCATGTGCTTGGAGTCTAGATGGTGAGACCATTGTAGTCATATGATGCAATAAATCTGGAGAATTGACAAACAATTCAGGGACCTCAGAACGCATAGCCAATTCGAAAGCATCCGCGTAGTTCGTTGGGACTCCATACCATGTCTTTGGCTCACCCCTGAAATGTTCAGAGTAGACAAAACAAAATAATCGAATATAGTACATGAGAAATGTCACTGAATTGCATGATTTTCCAACAAGTTAAATTGCCAAGGTGCTAAGTATGTAAAAAAGCGTTTCGAAAATTGTTAGACTCTAAATCGTAACAGCGTTATTTGTATGTATGCAACATGAAAACTAGATCACTGAGAGTATCAAGGTTCAGAGAACCGGACAAACATAAAACTGTAGGATCTCGTAAAAAATATTGATAGGGTCAAGTATTCATGCTTCGCTACACAAAAAGAATTGATAGAAAAATAGAATTATTGTAATCAATATTTCAGTCGGTGGCTTTATCAGATGTGAGCCAAAACGACATCTACGACTAAGTACTTGTGATCTACTTGTATCTTTCAACACTAAGAGGGGTATCTCACAACCACGGAGTAGTATGTAAAACAAATAATGCACAGTAAATTTCGACAGAAAAAAAGGTTGGTCACCTCGCCGTACCACAATTCAAATAGGTCGGGGGATATAAAGAGATTCTGTTTTTACTCTGATATGTCACGTGACCATATCATCGAATCTTAATGAACTATCAACAGATCCATACAAATTCCTAGCATAGACGTGAGCAACAATAAAACGAAGAAAGGAATCACCACTAATACATATCCATTAGAGCGCTTTAACAACCACATCACTATTAAATCTGCGCTATAATCTACTAGTTGTGATAGTTCCCATTGTAAAATGATTGTTATTTTATGAAAAATGCATCCAGTTGTATGTACCAATACTCGAACAACTGAAACTGCACAACATTATGGCATCATACTGGGGCTAGTCGGTCAGTTATAATCAAAATAGCATGGCGCAGGTGTGTATCAGTTAAATTTCTCACGCCACACTAGCATAGAGATTAAACGAACAGGTTGATTAGCGAGATTTAAATAATATTAAAAACAAGATAAACGGTAAGATATTTGATTTTGGAAAAAAATGTACAGTATGTCCTTAAACGTATATATATATATATATATATATATACATATATATCAGAAACAAGGTAGTGTAAACTTAAGTTCCTTGATTTTTAATTGTGAACCAATAACCAAGTATAAATCCACGTATTACATCTTAAATCATGCTTTCCCTGAATGTATGAGTGATGCTACTCAGCTCTATGAACCGAAAAATGAGACGCCGCTCAAACCCATGGTTGAAATGTTGAATGCCGAGTCCCCAATCAGTCAGTCACAACGTAGGATGTCGTACGTACGTACATCAGTTCAAGTTGTCATACTGCATTTTGTCAGCGTCTTCATCAAATAGGACTATGTCATCGGCATATTCTAAGTCAGCAAGTGAATCTCCCGGTAAAAGTTCAACTTCTGGAGATTTAGCTCATGAAAGTGTCCCCCAATCACTGAACTTCTGTTTCACTAAATACATTGCAACAGCTAATGTAACTCGGGATTGTCAAAAACAGAAGTTTAGATGAATAATGTGAAAACATATCCATTCCAAATCAACTTGTTTTCAAAAAAGCACTTTGCATCTCAGAAATTAAAATCAAAGTTAAGCTGGAATTTATCAATCTAAAAAACATGGAAGTAAATAGCTATCAGTCCCAATATTTAAAGATTTCAGATTTAATAAGTATATCTCTCCCTCCGAGTTATACTACTGTATGTCAAAATGTAAACTGTACATAGAAATACAAGCCCGTTAAGTATATAACACTTAATTAGGTATGTAAAACAAGATATTAAGAATCACAGATGATAAGATTTATGCTTACATATGCAGATAGTTAATGGAGTAACTCCAATGATCTTCTGTGTGCCAACAAAAACAAGAAAACGCCATACCAACATAGCACCAAGGAATCTGAAATTAAGATAGACTTTGAATCAAATCTAAATGCAAAACAATCTTACGTCACGAAATTTATTCCAAGTCAACATAACACTTTCGTGAACATTAATAATGATCAAAATCCAACGTAGAGTGTGACTCATTAGTTCAAGACATACCTTTAAGACATCAAGTTTTAACTCTGAACTCCACTTTGGTTACTCTTTGGAAAAGGGAGTAAAGTAGCATTTGTATCTATCATGTAAGTGGTAAAACAATCCGGTAAATGAAAACAAACTGTTTTCAGTGGACAGTTATTTTATCAAGTTCTTATGCAAACAAATCACTACAGGGGAAGTGGTGTGTAAAACAATGAACCAAAGGTTTACACAAAAGTTAGTGTTATTGTAACTCGATTTTATCAATGTCAATTTCATTATATGATAGATTTTTCGATTTAAAAATCAGTCAGTTAACCTTTGAACATCTAAGAGATAACTAAATATCCTGAAGAGGAGTCAACATGTTTTCTTTTGTGTGTAATCAGATTCAAACAATCTGGCTGCTTACCAGTTATATTGGGATTTGCTAGACAATGATTGTAAGTATGACAATGACATGGATACTGACTGGAAACTGTTCTCTAGAAATACCCACGTTTAGAAGAACTCTAATTTCCGATCCCACAGATTCTGAGGAAATTTACAATGATAGTGAGATACACTTTGGAACATTAGGACAGAACGGATTACGATCCAACAAAAATGCTATGGTTAAGACTAGAAGTAGAGGTCATATATCGGCTTCTTAGTGCAACCGATAATGGTGATCGTCTGATGCAACTATGCTCAGACAATCGTTTATTTTTGGCAAGCACTAATTTTAAACATAAGGAGAGACATCGTCTAACATGGCGACCACCTGCACCAAACCAACGATGGACTCAAATAGACCATATTGTCATCAGTCATCGTTGGAGAGGCTCAATAGAAGATTGTCGCTCGTATTGGAATACTTGTTTAGACTCTGATCACGCTTTAATACGAGCACGCATTTGTCTGCGCCTCAATGGACGCAGGAAAAGTAAACTAAGAAGACCCGTTAGGATTGAACTGGAGGACGAGAAAGCCAAATGCGAATTCCAGAGACAACTGAGTTCACATCTAGGCAGTTCTGTAAACGAGACTGACCCAGATGCTGCTTGGAAAGGCATACGAACAGCTGTGGAAACAGCAGTACCATCTATTAGTCATTTAAACCATAGGGCTCCAAAAAACCAGTGGATTTCTTCTAAGTCTATTTCACTGATGGATTCGCGTAAACTCATACCATCAGGCTCTGAACATGACGAAGAGCGTAAACAAATTAGATCTAGGTTAACTAAAAGTCTAAGGAACGATCGTGAGCAGTGGTGGGCAACGAAAGCAAAAGAGATGGAAAAGGCAGCGGCTGTAGGCAACACCAGGCAACTATTCAGACTAATAAAAGAAACTGGAATTAAGAAGTCAAGTGTAAGTGAGACGATCTCGGAAAAAGATGGAACCCTTATCTGCTCTCTACCCAAACGTTTAGAACGATGGGCGGAACACTTTAAGGAGCAGTTTAGCTGGCCTTCAGCTACTGCACAACTACCCACTATTCCTAGAAAAGCTGAATGGAACATTGAAGTAGGCCCCCCGAACCTACTTGAAGTTCAAAAGGCTATAGGTAATCTGAAACGAGGAAGAGCAGCTGGTCCTGATGGATTGGCTCCAGAGGTCTTTAAATATGGTGGTCCAATTTTAGCGATTATGTTGACTAATATTCTGGCTGAAATCTGGGAGACGGATGTAATCCCATCCGACTGGTCACAATCACTGATTGTCCCAATATATAAAAAGGGGTCAAAATCATCCTGCGATAACCATAGAGGGATTAGTCTGACTAACATAGTATCTAAAATACTAGCCTCAATAATTATCAGGCGCCTAACTAAAACTCGTGAACTGCAAACACGAGAAAATCAGGCTGGCTTCAGACCTGGTCGTGGCTGTATCGACCACATATTCACCATTCGTCAAGTTTTAGAGCACAGACATGCTTATCGGCGTCCGACGATGATAGTTTTTCTTGACTTGAAAGCAGCATTTGACTCTGTAGACCGAGAGGTTCTGTGGCAGTGTCTGTCATTGAAAGGTGTACCTGAGAAGTACATAAACCTTGTGAAGGCTCTTTACTCGAACACTATCAGTCGGGTGAGAGCTTATGGCGAACTGTCATATGATTTTACAACCTCAAGTGGTGTCCGTCAAGGCTGTCCACTATCCCCATTTTTGTTTAACTTCATTATAGACCTGTTGCTGGAAATGACACTCTCGTCGACTGAGTTTACAGGAATTGATCTCCTACCAGGGGGACCACTAAGCGACTTAGAATACGCAGATGACATAGTCCTGTTTGGTGAAGACACTGACAAAATGCAGAGTCTTCTGTTGGAACTGAGTAATAATGCCACGATGTTTGGGATGCGTTTCTCCCCATCCAAATGTAAATTGTTACTCCAGGACTGGCCTACGTCAACACCTGAACTAAGGATAGGGAGTGAAGTAGTCGAACGCGTCGACAACTTCACTTATCTTGGAAGTCTGATCAGCCCTAATGGATTGGTGTCTGACGAAATCTCAGCACGGATTCAAAAAGCTCGTTTGGCTTTTGCCAACTTACGTCACCTATGGCGAAGACGAGATATCCGTCTATCAATTAAGGGACGAGTATACTGCGCAGCAGTTCGTTCTGTTCTACTTTACGGCTGTGAAACATGGCCATTAAGAGTAGAAGATACTCGTAAGTTACTAGTATTTGACCACAGATGCCTTAGAAATATTGCTCGCATCTGCTGGGTTCACCTAGTAAGTAATAGTGAGGTTAGACGCAGGGTATTAGGTAACGATGGTAAATCAGTTGATGAGGTGATAAATCTTCATCGACTGAGATGGTTGGGCCATGTGTTACGTATGCCTGAACACCGATTACCACGACGCGCTATGATGACTAGTATTGGGGACGGTTGGAAGAGAGTTAGGGGCGGCCAAACCAAAACATGGCATCAGTGCTTGAAGTCACTAACTTCTAGCCTGAGCCATGTTGGCAGATGCAGACTACCTGGTTGGGGTCCGCGTGACTATCGTAATAAATGGTTGGAGACTCTAGGTGACATGGCTCAGAATCGATCACAATGGCGTAGGTGTATACACTCTTTATCTTCCCTTAAACCTTGATATTAAAATTGTTTCATATCTCTCTTCCTTCCTACTATATCCTTATATACAACCTTTCCTTATATACTACCACCACTAAATTAATTACTTCTATGAATCCGGTGTTCATCTTGTTGTGCTAAAGAGGTATGGCAACTTGGACCGATGCATATATGTGCCTGGTCCTACGTTGTAGCTGACTGACTGACTTCTTAGTGCAACAGGTTTGCACTTTACCAGTGAGACAGCAATATATATACAAACGTACTATGTTCTATGATGATAAATGACGCGTATGATTGACAGAACTATGTTCCACTTAATAAGAAAAATCGGCTACGAAGGTAGTGCATTTTCAAAACAAGAGCACCTTTGAGTGACTAGATAGGTTTCACAGTAATATCCACAAAACACAACTAAACTAAACCCTGTTGAAGAAGTGAACATTTTAACTCAAACTTAATGGAATAGATAATGGTTTCCACAGTGTGCATGTATAATAGTCAGATGCCTAATGCATTTCTGTTCTTCCACCTCTTGGTTTGAGTTGTTGGTAAAAAAAACTACACATCGATTGTAGGCTCCAAATGAGTGGTCAGTGAAAGTCTTTTAAAAAAGTGATAATACATGTAGTAAAAGCCTGAGAATAAAGTACTACTTGAAACATTTATTTCGTAATGCATGCCCACAACCGCTCTCCTATCCCTTCGTACTTTACTTTGCGAATTACATTTAATTACACAGTTATCAGATAACCAACTAAAAAATAGTTTACGGTAAAACCAGGAAAATATGCACACTCACACGAAGAGTAAGCTGACTACTTAGAATTTAACTATCTATGGGAATGATCAAAACAATGATAAACATATTTCTTAGTTATTTAAAACTATTTTCTAGCATAAATTATCCCATTCGGATAGACAGGAAGGAACCTAATCACAGGAATATGTATACAAAAACACTCAGGACTTACTATCATTCCCGATATATTCCGTGGTAAAAATCTAAGAGCAGAATTATCTAACAGAGGAGTGTTGTTCAAATTCCAAGGTGAAGTAACATAGTTTTTCGACTTCTGACTGGTCCTTCCTTGTCGGGAAGTTGGGAAGCCTGACCCATGTTCACGAGCATTCAGGTCGGCCCCATACTCCACACTTACTCCAGTATCCTCGGAGCCAACAAGGCGCCAAAACTCCGCTTCAGCCTCTTCAAGTGAAACCATCTAAAAGGATGAGTTAGAGTGCATGAAAAGCTTACATGCGTTGGTTTTCCGAAGTGCTTTGCCTTGAAATCATCAGCCCGAATCCCAAATGTATGAAGAGTATATTTTACATTTGAGCTTTTAAATCCAAAAACTTCATGTCGATTTAACCGCTTATATCTTCTTATTATGCAAGAACGACAGTACCAGTTTCCCTTGGGAACATCAGACAAAGGTGGATCAAGGCAGTACGTGTGACATGCTCCATAGGTTTCACAACCATCGCACAAGAGGAGGTATTTGTCATCATTACCAAGGTTGCACACAGAGCATACCATCTTTTCAACCTAGAAGGAGCAAGTTACTTAAACTTTTGTATACCGGTGGTTTATTTTTTCGCGACTGACTTGAACATGAAAACTCTAAATGCTCATTATCATTAACCTATAAATGATCATATAAACAATAATAGTACACACCGATTCATCAGAGATAAATGTATCATAGGGCAATAAGTACTTCTTATAGTGTGAGGACAGAGAAGAGGCAAAAGACGGAACTGCTGGCAAGCCGATTTCCCCACAAATTTTACACCAAAGCTTTTTTTCGCACACAGTCTGGTAGCCGCCAGTACTCTGAACCTGTTTCCATAATCGATAAATATCGATACTTCTTCCTTTTATTTGGGGGACGAACAGGGTAACATCCTAAAAAAAACTCAATCGTTAGGTACTCCACATTACCTGAGCCTCCCAAAAATTTATCAGAGAAGTAATAAAGTGGTATCTCACACGATTGTACGCACAAACATCAGACAACTCCTGAACTCTGGGGACAAAAGTAAAGTTTTGTTGATCGACACAGAAAGGTGGCTTCCAACCCTGCCAAGATTAATAAATAATAGATATGATAAGAATCTTACATTTGGGGGGCGTATTTTACAAATTCCGTAATTAAATGCTATCGAGGAAATACGTTGAACATAACTAATAGGGTCAGTAAATTCTTCAGGTGTTGGGTTGAAAACTGGGGCGGGTGGAGGGCGGATGAAATCCAAAGGCATAGGAGAAAAACTGAATGATTGAGACTTCATAAACCCATTTCCTAGGTGTTTTGAACAGCCGCTACCATCATACGTTTCAACGACCTTCATATCTCTACAGGATACTTCAGTTTCATTTCAGTTTCCGTTTGGAAAGGACAGCAAGCTAGGTAGCCTGTATTTGTCCTGATAATGATGGTCTTACAGTCGATTCAACTTTCTTTTGAAAGCGTCAACAGATGGAGCTTCAATCGCGTGTTGAGGTAATGAATTCCGTTCATTGATTATTCGATGGGAAAGTCGATAGTCAACTGACAAGTAATCTGTTTTGGGCTTGTGAACTTTTTCAAAGTGTCGTCGTAAATCCTTTGTTTTTGGAAGACAAGAAAAACGAGGGAATATTAGAGGGAAACTTATCACTAAGTAATTTAAAAACTGTGGTGAAGTAGCCTCTGGTTCTTCTATATTACAATCGAGATAGGTTTAATTTAGCCAGTCAAGCATCACATGGACGCCGTGCCATTCTGGGAATCAGCTAAGTTTCGGTTCTTCTAACCTTTTCCAACAGCTCATTGCATCTTGGCTAACGATGACTTAAATCATTGTGTGTCTTGATAACAGGTAGCTCACTGTTGTTCACAGTGTATGTATATGTACCGCGGTTAACAATATGCTTCATAATGTACTTGAAAGCGACTGCCAAATTTTAGAGTATTCAGATGATATTTTCAGGTCATTTTGAAGCGCCAAACTATCACATTTACTTTTTATCGCTCTCCATATCTTGACATTGTCAGCATATAACAAAACCAGTGGTGATGGGAGACTACGAAGATCACTTACGTCCAGGAGGAACAACACTGGTCTCCAAACTGTACCCTAAGGCATTCCGTCAAGCACAGTTTCCCAGCTAGACAACTTTGATCTCGCCCGTGCACTTTATTTACACTGTAGCTGTAAATAATTCCCCAAAATCAATAGCTTCCTAAGTGTTCGACATTGGATGCTGACCACGTTGTTTAAGTGGACTTGGTTAACTGAAGGCTTTCGGTAATGCATCCGTACCAGATCACGTTTCGAAGCAGCGTGGGACACAGCTCCTACGTTCACTAGCCAGATTAGAGCAAACGCTTCTCGATATATTGATAACGTATCAAATATATCTTTCCGATCCCTTCGCATCTGACATCTGATTTCATTCGGTTGGGGAAAGCTTCGAATATAGGTGTTACTAGTAGCTAGTTGTCAAACTATGAAACTAGTCGTATCTTCAGTGGTGAACCTGACGTGATCTGATACATCAAGCCATCAAACTGTTAGTCTGTTCCTTTTTGGAATTTCATTAATCATTGTGTTGCATAATTTGACTTCTATATATTATTATTATTATTATTATTATTCACAAACACCTTATGGGTACATAAGTGCTGTGAAGAAACCATTTCGGGTTCCTTCAAAAATGCAATAATACACAATTTTCAAAAATGCCAACATTACATATGCCATGTTTTAGAAAGAAAGGAAAAGGAAAATAAAATATTAATAATAGAATCGTAACAATAAATCAGGCTCTGCGTAATTGGCAAGAATTTTGAATTGATTTTGAAGGAGGAAAGGAAGGAACTAATGAAATAGAAATAAAGGAGACGCGGAATACGTAAATATCTTAACGCAGAACAAGAATAAACAACTATGTATGTATAGCAAAACGAGTAATAAGATATAACAGAATAAATTAATAAGTAAATAACTTATTATTGCGGTAAGATATGTGGAGATAGAACCTTAAAACCTATTTTGTAAATAATTTTTCATAGTTTTCGCATGTATTTTCATATTCTGTACATTAAGCATTAAACAATTGTACTTGTTGTTTAAGTGTATTACTTTGAATACTTGTAACTCGACTTCCTTCCGTTTTGAGTACAACATATCGTGACACTGTTACTGCTCCTCAACAAATACACTCTAATTCACATCTGCATCGTTCTGCCATGTCTGATAATATGTTGAATGAAATATTAATTGCATACCATCTACGTTTATAGACAATTGTGACATTCTTATTGAATTCTACGCTTGGTAAACCTACTGGATCTATATCGTCCATATTGGGATTACTAATTTTTTTATAAATGTGGATTATTTGGACCAAACCCATCCGAACACGCAATAGCCTGAAGACTTAAGTAACGTCCCTTGTTTTATTATTTGTGTGTGTAATTAACTTATTAACTGTTAATTGTTACATAAACTATAGACATAATATTTTTGTTGCTAATTTTTGGTTATCATACATTTTGGTCCACCACAGATATGACGTTAGAATAAGTGTTTGTGCGAGCACAGTCATAGTTTTGGGTGATACTATGAAAGTTTTAATTAAGTGCAAAAGATAATCAATGTGTATGAGGTGTATATACATAGTGAAGATAAAACGAGTCTGATAAGTTGAATTCAGCGTAACACAAATTATTGTCTTAATCCGAAACTTCGTAATCTTAAGAATAATATTTATTTAGAAGGAAAAAAAGGGAGAGAGAGAAAAGAAATGAACACATAGTGAAAGGGTCCAACCATGATCATAATAGTGTAATGGATATAGACTTTTGAGATGAACGAATAATTCAAAAATAATGATAATAATAACAATAATAAACCCTTACGGATAAATACATGTAGATTTATGTAACAGTATACAGAGTGAAACCGGGTTTTAGCAACATTAGTATGTTCTTACCTAATAAATACCTAACTATTCCTCCATGAATATTGTGTGCTCTCTTTTTCGTCCTTCCTTTTTCTTACGCCTCTTTCAGCCTCCTGCAGTTACTCCACCGAAAACAGATATGGCACGGGTGACTTCGTCCTACACCGTTATTAAAGCTTCCGATATTCTGGAGGGATATAAATTCGAAACTTCTAAAAGCCCCTAACTTCGCATGTATCTATTCTCGACCATCAGTTGTATGTTGCAACGATACCTCCATATATTGTGACATTACCATAAGTTCGGTAGGGAACTCATAGCTATGTATTGTGCTATACGACATTTCCAACATTCAATCGAAGGAAGAGAATTCACGCTTTTTACCGATCACATACCTCTTACCTTCTCTTTAAGTTCATCTTCAGATAAGTACTCACCCCGCGAGAGTCTCGACAACTGAACTACATTTCGCAGTTTACTTCAGACATACAACACCTTTCTGGACCAAACAATGTAGTCGCAGACGCTTTGTGTCGAATAAGTTCCTTCAACAGTTTCCAGGGAATTGACCGTCTTAAACTCGCTCAGCTTCAAAAACAAGACATTGATCTTCAGCATGAGTTATCCTCGACAACTCTAAAACTAAGTATTAAGCAGATGGGAACAGGTAAGGAAGCCTTACTCTGTGACACATCTACAGGTAGGGATCGTCCAATAGTACCAAAACATTAGCGACGCAACGTCTTCAATACGTTGCACAATCTTTCTCATCCAGGTGTTAGTGCAAAAATCAAGCTTATAGCCGAACGGTTTTCATTGGCCTGGCGTGAATAAAGACGTGAGGGAGTGGGCACGCTCCTGTGTAAGTTGCCAGAAATCTGAGGTTATAAGACACAACAAATGTCCCTTAGGCTTTTTCAAAACCCCTGACGCTCGTTTCGACCACGTTCATCTAGATTTGGTAGGACCCTCACCCGATTCCAACGGATACCCATACCTCTTAACATGCGTAGACCGTTTCACTCGATGGCCAGAAGCAGTACTTATTAAGGACATTACTGCTGAAACTGTGGCTTGCGCTTTCGTTGAACGATGGGTTGAAAACTTCGGCTGCCCTTCAACCATCACTACAGACCGCGGACGCCAGTTCCAATCTGGACTTTTCCGTTGTCTCACCTCACTATTAGGAATCACGCGCTTCCGAACGACCGCCTACCACCCACAAGCAAACCGGCTGATAGAACGTTATCATAGACAACTTAAAGCTTCATTATCAGCTACAAACGTTTCACAGTGGACAGGTGCTCTTCCACTCGTCTTGCTAGGTATCCGCAATGCAGTGAAAGCTGACATTGGATACACGACATCTCAACTCGTTTACGGAAAGACACTCCGACTCCCAGGAGAATTTGTGGATCCTTCAGCTTCTTCATTGAACATTGATCTAAACTCTTACACGGGTAAACTTACAAACGCTATGCGTTCAGTTAAACCTGCTCACACTTGACCTCAATCAACTGATGTTTTCGTTCAACCCGAATTACAACATAGTACAATTGTCTTCGTTCGTCGAGACTCACATCGACGACCCCTCGAATCAGCATACGGAGGACCCTTCAAAGTTCTTCAACGCGAACCTAAGTACTATGTAGTAGATAAGAACGGTACGAACGATAGCATCAGTATCGATCGACTAAAAGCAGCGTACTTAGAAGGAAACCCTAGCTACGTCGATTTTCCTTCGGTACAAGCAAACGACACAGCCACTACACTCTTAGTACCCCACACGACAGCCGATACACACCTTGATACTTCGTCAACGTCGGAAAAGAAATCTAAAACAACGCGTTCTGGAAGAAGAGTAAGGTTTCCAGAACATCTAAACGACTATTGCACGTAGGACACGAACTTTATCTCGAATTCCCTTTGCATTATTTATTATAAAAAAAGAATTATTTTATTATGCTTATTTGTATATATTTATTTCAAAAATTTTTTTTTACTTATAAGCGTATATATATATATTTCATATAAAAAACCCAATTTTTTTCGATCGCTTTTACGCTAACGCAAGTGTATTAGTTTATTTATTTATTTTTCTGCTCATCTTGTGTCCTTACGCAAGTACGAGTGTATTTTCGACATGCACTCACACGTTCTATTTTTTCTCTTTTTTAGGACGGCTGGAAAAGAAAGATGAAGTTTCACAAGGAACCGAAGTTTTCATTGTACTTTGTTTCCTTATTACTATGTGGTACATTATGGTCTCTTATTGTAAAGAAAGACGACCAGACGCTGCTAAACATAGCAAGCTATCAGAAGAGTGTTTACCAACGACAAACTCGTTGGGTTTAAACTTCTGGCTGGTCACGTCTTAGGGGCATCACTACCTCACTAGGAGGGGAGTGATCTGTAGCTGTAAATAATTCCCCAAAATCAATAGCTTCCTAAGTGTTCGACATTGGATGCTGACCACGTTGTTTAAGTGGACTTGGTTAACTGAAGGCTTTCGGTAATGCATCCGTACCAGATCACGTTTCGAAGCAGCGTGGGACACAGCTCCTAC